TCCTAGAGCACCCAGACCTCCTAGAGCACCCAGACCTCCTAGAGCACCCATGCAACATTCGTGTACTGTACACCACACACAACACACATGCTGTGCAATAAGCATGTGTACTACACAGCACAGATGTTATTTGAAGCTCACAACACAGCCGCCGTGATCGATGCCGTGTCGTATGCACGATTTGGGGAGCTGGGAGAATAGGGTGAGAGAAAGGGTGGGGTGAGTGAAAGGGTGGGGTGAGTGAAAGGGTGGGGTGAGGGATCGAAAGGGTGGGGTGAGGGAAAGGGTGGGGTGAGGGAAAGGGTGGAGTGAGTGAAAGGGTGGGGTGAGGAAAGGGTGGGGTGAGGAAAGGGTGGGGCGAGTTAAAGGGTGGGGTGAGGGAAAAGGTGGAGTAAGGGAAAGGGTGGGTTTAGGGAAAGTGTGGATTGAGTGAAAGGGTAGTATGAGTGAAAGATTCGGGTGACTGAAAGTGTGGGGTGTGTGCTGTAGTGATTGCAGAGCGGCGAAGAAGGGTAGGTGGAAGTGAGAGAAAAATCGAGGAAGGGGTGAACGGGAAATGTGGGTTAAAAGCTGAATTAACGGAAGGTGCAATAAGGAGAAGTGGGAATGAAAGGTAGAAGAGGCATTAAAGATAAAAAATATAACTCAGTACTCACTGCAGTGAGTGACAGATAGCGCATTTTCTCGTCGACGAAAACGTGAAGTCACGGACGGACAGACAGACAGACGGACGGACATGACGAGCACAAATAATAGCACAAATGAGAAAATGCGCCAAAAAGGATTGAAGAATGTGGCATAAAAGGGGAGATGATGAAGAGGAGGAAGAAGATGCTTGAAATTGTAATGAAGAGGGGAGATGGAAATGTTAACGGAAAGAAAGGCGAGTGAAAAACAAGCGGGTTGACTGGAGTGGGGGTGAGAGGGGGAGGGGAGAGAGAGGGAGTGGGAGGAGGGGTGTGGCAGGAGCAGCTGCAGATTGTGTTGCGTGGGAGGAGAAGTGTAGCCAGAAATAACTTTCCTGCGCTACTGCAGGCTGGGAAAGAAACAAGGAAAGAAAGAGAAAGTTGTTCATGGATGTGTTGGTAGGCTGGAAAAAAAAATGCGATGTGGGATGATAAACAATTGCACATAATTGTTCATTTGTTTATTTTGGAGCTTATTTATATTATATTTATATATTTTTCAAGCGTGCTTCACTTCACCACAGTATGGAGGTAAATATATATAAAGCTTCTTTTGTAAATTAGTCATATAAAAATTATATAAATAACTAGATGACTTGAGCTAATTAACGTCTTTACATGAGAATTTTAATTTTGTTATGAGTTCTCACCTTACTTTAATATATGACTTGCGTGATAAAATGAACACCGATGAACCTCAACACGAACTGCATGACACGCACGTGAACCTCAACACGAACTGCATGACACGCACGTGAACCTCAACACGAACTGCATGACACGCACGTGAACCACAACACGAACTGCAAGACACGCCTGAATAATTTGAAATTATTATTCACTTCAATTTCCATGAACACTTCATGAACACTTCAAGTGTTCACTTCATAAACACTTTCATGAATACTGAAACAACTACTCCGTTATTCATGAAATTATTATTAATTTCGTGCTCATGGATATTGCTGGCGCATTGAAATTTTTTTAATTTAAATGAACTGGCATTTACTTTGAATAACTTAAGTTAAGGAAAACCTAGCATGGTATGAATAGAGAAACTTGAGTAAAACTAAAAAATCGTTCTGGGTTGCAACGGGCGGATACAAGGTTCAGTTGGCAGTAAATACTTGAAAGTAAATTAATTTTTACAAAATCTAAAAAATTGTACGCACAAGTGTTTAAATCGTTCACTTAGCGCGCTTCCAGAAGAAGCAAATTGAAATCGAAATAAAAATTTGTGATAGAAAAAATGCTTCAAGCAATATCGTTATAGATGTCTAGACTAACGTTAAAACGAAGACAAGAAGGAAACTTTATGCCGATAAATTAAGTTATAATTTTCAATTCATATTTCAATGAAGACTCGTCACGTATTTATGTAAATAACTTCGATATCATATTCCGCAAAATTTATGTCAGACCAGGAAGGCAAGCCAAACAGTAATAAATAAATTAAATAATAAATAACGACAATCAACGTAAACCGGTGCACAGAACATAATGGAAACTAAATAAATTATATAATTAATTTCAGTTTATGATTTTTGGTTGATTGCAGCGCTGCTGTCTTGGATGGCACGGCGGTTAATTAACTGTTAAAATTAAATTCTATTAATTTTACCAGCAATTTTTCTATATATAGCGATTTGTGTTTCAGTAAAAATGTAAATATTGTTGTACGCTGGGAAATTTCCCACATATAATGCATGTTCTGGGAAGAATGCTTATTCTTTACTGTGGAATGCTAGAGCCGTTAGTAATTATGATGATCTTGGTATTTATTAAAAACGTCTTCGTTGACAAAGACTCTCTTTCAACAAAAGCTAAACAGATGCACTGCGGGGGAGAAAAAATATACCGTAACGCTATTTTTTAATGCGTAAAAAGTGTGGGAGGCGACGTGTTGTGGCAGCTGATGTGCCGGAGTAGACGAGCGTGAAGGCCTTTGTCCTCGTTATTTCAGACATACGACTTCACAGATGCACGGCAAATGCTGTCTAAATTTTGAGACAGAAGCTACTTCATGAATTTCTGTTGGTTTGAATTTTCAGACACGTGAGAAGATATTTTTTTAATGCCTGTATGTTAAAATCAGGGATCGAAAGACTAAATATCCGAGGTAAATATTAGAGAACTATAGCTAGGATCGTTTGACTTCCTGCAGCCAAAAATTGTCGAAATTAAATGCCTTATACCGTCTTCATGCTAGAAAAAATTAGAAGGATTTCTTCGTTGTCTCTATACTAAATTAGAAATTAATTTTTTCTCTAATGTCTCTCCTGTGTAAAAAAAGTAAAAAAATATGTCACTTTCCTGCCGTCGTTTTATTAAGAACATCCGTAATGTGCTATTACATATATGAAGAAATAAAAAAATTCTAATTATCAATTAGACAAACGAAAATATCAAGAAATCTGAATTGTGTAACTTGTTGAAAAACAAGTATTCCTTCCGCATGAATCGAGTGCATGTGATCCAGTACAGATGCGGATGCTAGAAATACCTGAACTTTGTTAAAGGTCGTCTAGTTAGAGGTGACCATGAATAACGTCGGGCAACCACTTGGTCCACTTGCACTTGGAAGCATTCAGTGTTCCGCGAACTTTTGAAAGGGTTGGTTGTGTCGCTCAAAGCTCTCTAGTGTATTGTTCTTTCAGTGCGTACAAATTCAAGCACAAATAATCGAAATGAAGTATTATGCCACATAAAGTTGTTTTATTTTATTTAGCTACATCAAAATGCGTGGAAAACGCTTTTTGGACATGCATTTCCAGGCACTGTTCGACTTCTGGACACTGACGACAGTCTTGCTAGTTACTGAACTGACTTTCGCCCAGTCAGAAGAAACGTTCAAATGTCCCAGCAATTCGGCTTATTTCTTTCCATGTACATGCGTGAAGCCTGGCACTGACGGAATATATGTTGAGTGCGAAAATACTAACCTTGCTTCCATATCAATTGGATTGGCAAACGTCAGGTTACCCATTGAGGAACTGCGGCTTACGCGCTGCAACATACGCAGGCTCTTCGGCGATGTTTTCAAGTCCGTACATATTAAGGTGAGATCATTATACATCAAGGCGGGGTGAGATTATTACACATCAAAGTGAGGTCATTACACAGCAGGTTGAGGTCATTACACGTCTGGGTGAGGCCATGACACATCAGGGTGAGGCCATTACACGTCTGGGTGAGGCCATGACACATCAGGGTGAGGCCATGACACATCAGGGTGAGGCCATGACACATCAGGGTGAGGCCATGACACATCAGGGTGAGGCCATTACACATCAGGGTGAGGCCATGACACATCAGAGTGAGGCCATGACACATCAGGGTGAGGCCATTACACATCAGGGTGAGGCCATGACACATCAGAGTGAGGCCATGACACATCAGGGTGAGGCCATGACACATCAGGATGAGGCCATTACACATCAGGGTGAGGCCATGACACATCAGGATGAGGCCATGACACATCAGGATGAGGCCATTACACATCAGGGTGAGGTCATTATACCTCATGGTGTGGTCATTACACATCAAGGTGAGGTTTTAATTCATCAAGGTGAGGTCATTACACACCAGGGTGAGGTCAGTATATATCAATGTGAGGTCATTGTACATCAAAACTCGATTTATGTGGTGCTAATGACCCACTTAACGATAACTGTCATCCTGACGTTACGATAAATGCGATCAAGACGGATGACTGTCAATGCCAAACAATTTTTGTTGTGAAGTTTTTGTGCCTAGAGTTTCGCGACTGCGCTCGCACGCAATCGTTGCTAGTGCCTTGGACGACATAAGGCACCTGCGAGCAAAGCCTTGAATCATTAAATGATTTATTTGAACAGCTTGGCACTCGTTTTGCATTAAACACTGACATCTGCAATAACCGACAGATGTAGGTCTATGCAGCTTTATGTATTAGCAGCTGCATGACGGAGCTCTAATTTAAATATATATTAGAGGAATTTGAGAGGGGCGTTGATTTTTTTACGTGAATAAATTCTCATTTATCGCTTTACTCTCTTCGCAACTATGCATAAAATATCGCTCAATCCTTTGTCTAACAACACGAGAACCGTCATCAATGATATTCGTATCTGAAAGCTTGATAACGAGAGTTATACCGTTGATAGTTATCCTTCTATTTAAGGACGCGATAACCATCGTCTATGATATTCGTATCGAATGATTAGGTGACGAGAGTTAGCGTCAGTAAACTAAGTGTAAACTTATTGCAATATTTTATTACATATGGCACGCTTTCCTTGCAGCGCCTGGTGGTAGAGGATACCCTCGTGGAGGAGGTGGCCGAGGACGCGTTTGTAGGAGCAGCCTCTACTCTGAAGGACCTACGGCTCCTGGGGGCGCCCCTGAACGGTGTCCCTACAGCCGCCCTCGCGCCCCTCGACATGCTTGAGGTTGGGATCCTCTTTACCTCTATCCTTATGTACATTTTTATTAATCATTTATTTTATCCTATTAGGTTCCACAGAATCTATAATATCATATTTATTTTTATATTAAAATTTATGATTGAGTTTATGCATTCTTATGATTCATTTAGGTTTACTTACGCCTTAATTAATACACTTAACTTTGATTGTAGCCATCAAATAGACAAATCTAATTCCTGTTTTCCTGTTGGCCCCTAGATAATTTCGCCAAATCATTTTGTGTATACGGTGGCCTTCATCATCTTTCACGTTGAATGAAATAGGAACATGGAATGAATAAGAATATAATGAATCGAAGCAAAAGTTAAAGTAATTTGAACACCAATTTATATATTGTTGCATTCTAAAATTTTACAACAGATATTTTTATGCTTTATTTAATTTATAATATGTTCTTTCAATTCTCATTGATATTATAATTTTCCTTTCAAGCTTTAATTTTTCGAGAGTTTAATAAATTTCTGGGGCAGGTTTCGGCAGAGGCGACCTCAACGCTGCCCGAGTACCAATCCGCGCTCATCGGCGCCAAACTTTCATTGATCTCATAATATAAATTATTATTAATACACAATAAATTTCATCATACCGTGTAGCCTTTTATTAAACAAAATATTTTTTCATTTCATTATGTAACCTCGGTAATTTTGATAAGTGTTTTCGATTGCATTAGTTTTAATTCGACTTTTTTTGTGTGCAACCATGAACGAAAGACTTATAAAGAAATTTTCCCTCGCAGATTTTGCCTAATCATTTTAATTATAAATATATTACGAACAAAGAAGTTATTACAGTTTCTCGATGCTCCACAGCACTTGGAAATCAGAGGTGCCAACATCACCGAGCTGAAGAACGGAGTAATACCACCTCTACCTCAGCTCAAGTATCTTCACATCAATAAGTGCGGCTTAACACAAATAACATCCGACGCCCTCGAGGTTTGTATTTATACAAAATTCTATTGTGTGTTGTCGTAAGCATTATATTCTTCAAACTAATTTCTTACGAGTTTTATTACTAAACATTAATGCATGCAAAAAAAACTTTCTTTTAATAATCATGACCCGTTGACGTATAGAAGTGCTGCAAAATGAGTATTTTTGTTCAGTAATATTGGATTATTAGTTTTATAATTGCACAATGTTAAATGAAATTAATACATCCATGTCGCCGGTGTCGATTTACAAGACCAGGTTCAGGTACATGCATGACGCAATGAATAATTTTAATAAGTATGTCCTCAATATCGTTTTCTTCTAAATATAGTAAAAAACGACATCGAGTTGGTAAACTACTATAAAAACAACAGCTACCTCTAGTTTTCTGGCCTGTTGATATGTTACATTCACTTTTGAATAAATACGACCATTAAAATTCTGATCTAAATAATAAATCCTAATTTTTCTAAGTTTAACTTTATTACGACGTGAGAACAACGGTGAGATATTTGAAAGCAACCTAATTAATGTCAGACCAGCATTAATTCATATTTATCTGTACATCATGAACTATTTTTATAAGTGTTGTTATGTAATTTCATTATGCTTTTCAGCCGCTGAAAAAGTTGGTGAAAATCGATTTCAGTCACAATGAGCTGAAGAACCTTCCAAAAGGCGTATTCAAAAGCAAGAGAGACGCAAGGCTCTTGGATCTGTCGCATAATGACTTCACGAAGCTGGACGCTCAATACTTCTCGGTGAGTTTTAATCCTTGAAAAATTGCTACATAATACTTCTCACTGCACGAATGGTGCTTAACGGATTCAAGATCGCTTGAAATTGTGCCATACATGCTGTGTTGCGTACACTTCTCTGGTGCCATACATGCTGTGTTGCGTACCACATTGTGTTGCAACTCATGTAGTATCATGCCTCATGCCGCAATGTTGCGTACCACATTGTGTTGCAACTCATGTAGTATCATGCCTCATGCCGCAATGTTGCGTACCACATTGTGTTGCAACTCATGTAGTATCATGCCTCATGCCACAATGTTGCATACCACATTGTGTTTGTCTCATGCCACAATGTTGCGTACCACATTGTGTTGTAACTCATATAGTATCGTGCCTCACGCCGCAATGTTGCATACCACATTGTGTTTGTCTCATGCCACAATGTTGCGTACCACATTGTGTTGCAACTCATATAGTATCGTGCCTCACGCCGCAATGTTGCATACCACATTGTGTTTGTCTCATGCCGCAATGTTGCGTGCACAGGACCTTGGTGCACTGACATGGTGCAACATGTCGCACAACAGCATCACGGACCTCGGACGCGCGCCCTTCGCACGCAACACGGAGCTGGGGTGGCTGAGTCTCAACCACAACCTCATCATCAAGGTTGAAGACACGGCGCTCAGGTCGCTCAGGAAAATGAGGCGTCTCTACATCACAGATAACCTCATCACTGAAGTTTGTTCATTTATTTGTAATATTAAAAAATAGAAATTGATAACTGAATTAAATAAAAAAATAAGTTAATAACTAAATAATGAAATGTAAATTTATTTATTAAGTTTGAAACATTTTATGTTTAGTGATGTAATCTGTGCTCAGTTAGTTTTAATCTCTTGTTGATCCTCTTGAGTATAATTTTTAAATTACGGAAAAATGTGAGAAAATTTAGCACAATCAAACAGAAATATTTCTGTGTGCACCTAGTAGTAATAATGAAGTCCCAAAACTACGGAATAACTGAAGCAAAAAAGTGAAAAAAAATTTAGCAATCCTCTTCACTAGGAATTTGTAAAGCATATCAGCTGGAGATGTAACTTTGGACAGCTTATTTACACAGCGCATGAAGAGATTCTAAAATTGTCAGCTCACATACACCGCAAGTGTAATTAAAAATGTCAAGACGTCAATCAATCACTAGGACATCAAGCTGTTCTTTTATAAACTAATAACATAACAGCTTAGTACCGGGCAAGTAGAACACTTGAGTCCTTGTTACTACCTCGATGCTGAGCGGTTCTTAAGTTAAAATTTACGTGACGTCTTAGAGACGTCGCCAATGCCCACAACCGCATTGATGAACCATGAATGATCGCACGTGGATAACTAGAGTCTATTTGAACCTGAAGAATAACTCGGTCATAATTAAATTGAGATATAATTCAATGCAGGTTGCATGAGGCAAACGTTTCGCTAACAGCTAAAATAATTTATTATTCAGAAGCAGAGCCAAGGTTATGTAGTGAACTATGTTTAACTTTCGATTGATTCGACCTGAATTATTCAACTTGTGCCTAAACCTGATGAGACGCAAGTCCATTAACCGGTAGAAATTGTGTACAAATCTAAAATGCGTTTGCATGTATGAATGGTAGAGATTAAAGTAAAAATGTATCAATGTGTGAATTCCAATTAAACTGATTGAAAAGAAAAAAACATAACTCAGTACTCACTGCAGTGAGTGACAGAGAGCGCATTTTCTCGTCGACGAATACGTGGTCACGGACGGACTGACAGACGGACGGACATGACGAGCACAATAGCGCCTTTTTCCATAAATGAGAAAATGCGCTAAAAAGGCCAAATAATGTGATGTAGTGATCGGTGGTAGAGTTTCGGAAGACTGAAAGCAATTGTTAAATTTAATATTGAAAATTTATGTTTACAAGCGAAGACGCTGCCATTTGCGCAGTCGTTTTGACAGGAACTCGTTCAATCGTGCTCACGCAAGACGAATCGCGCGAGTGCGATGTTACAATGGAATTTGTGGCAATGTCGTTTTATTTAAAAGCTGTAAATCTCAATTAAACTTTTGCAATTTTTCTCCTACTTTTCGCAGTCACTCGAGATTCTTTTTAATATAAATTCACTTCACCGATGATATAAACGACAGCCGAAACGTTGAACAAAGTACTTAGAAATACTTGAGAGCTCTGCGTTTAGATGTAAATAGAATAATAAAAATTCTCCGAGTTTAGGTGACATACGATGTGAGTGACCGTCTGATCTCTAGGCAGGAATGACTACAGCAATCCCTTGATTAGCACGGTTTTGAATACCGCGGTTTTGATTAACGCAGAAAAAAAATTTGCAAGCCGCGAGTGTGACGGTAGCGTCACTGCGTCACATGTTGTGAACTCGTTCGAACGACGTTCGATGGAGTAGGCGCGCCGCTACTGCCAGTACATACAACACAAAGACTGCGCGTGATCTGAAAAGTAATTCAGATTGTTTTTTCACTTTTGAAACATAATTCAGTGCGTAAAGGGCTAGTTACTCGTTAGCCTTCAACTGGTCAAGATCGCTGCCATATCTACTGCTCACTTCTATCGAACTACATAATTTTCCTTTCCTTTGATATTTTTGAGGATTCATTATAATTATTGCCATATATTTTTAAGTTTGATTAGCGCGGTTTTGCTTAACACGGTAAAACTCGGGGATTTATTAACCGCGTTAATCAAGGGATTGCTGTACTCTAGACTAGACTCACCCGCACCTAATTTACTAACGACTTGCACAATATCTCGTAACCTTCCTTACCTTCGCTATAAATATTGATTTTTTTCAATAAATATTTTGAATATAAATCTTTATCAGGTATTTACTAATATTTTGAAAAATAAAAGTAAATGTTTGTTAATTCTCCTCACAGTAGCTTTGATCGGTCATAATTTCGTCAGGTTCGTCGTAATGCGTTCAGCGCGATAAAGGACCGCGTGGCGACCGTTGACATTGCCAGGAATCAGCTAAAAGAAGTCGGCACCGGCATGTTCCGGGATTTTAAATCAATTCAAGAAATCAACTTGGCCGAAAACATGATAACGGTCGTGAAGAAAGAAGCGTTCGTTGACTTGTACCTAACCCACATCAACATCAGCCATAACCAAATCACGACGTTTGAGAATCGCTCCTTCGTTGCGTGTAAGAATATAACGACACTGGATTTGTCATACAACAACATTTCTAAAATACAGCCTGAAGCTTTCGTTGATTCCTACATGACTTTATTCCATTTGCAATTCAATAAAATAATTGATACTTCCAAAATCTCGATGAATTTCTTCGGTGTGAAAGTGGTGAATATGTCGTACAACGAAATACAAGTGGTAGGACGCAAGACCTACCCAGATCTTTACGAACTTCACACGATTGACTTCAGTCACAACAACATCTCGGACATTGGCAGGTCTGTATTTCAAACCTTGTTCAGTATCCGTTACATAAATATGAGTTACAATTCTTTGGAGGAACTCAAAGGTGGCTTCTTTGGCACGCTACCCACTCTGCTCGCGTTGGACCTCTCGCACAACAGAATACATTCGGTCACACAGGGTACGTTCCAGAGCCTGTCGTCGCTACGGGAACTGTGGCTCAACGACAATAGATTGCGCGGATTGTTTGTTATCCCGCAAGCTCTGAATTATCTTTATCTTCAGAACAACAATTTAACCGAAATAAAACCTTCCACGTGGCCGGTAATGAACGCCCTTCTCTATCTTGACATGGGGAATAACAATTTCCGGGACTCATTAGGCCCTGGCTCCTTCAATGGCTTAAACTCGTTAAGAAACTTGAATCTAGAAAACAATTCCATTTCTGTTCCTCCGTGGGAGGCGCTAAGTGACATGCAAACGTTGCAGCACATCAACTTGGAAAATAACGTCATCGAGAACATCACGCAAAGTGCCTTCGGACGTCTTCCTACAATGTTCACCATTAATCTGGCAAACAATGGCATTAGGAACGTCAGTCAAAGAGCTTTTGAAGGACTACTTCAACTAGTCACGCTCAACTTGTCATCTAATGGACTACAACACATACCTAACGATGCTTTCAGAGGGCTCGTAGCCCTACAGACTCTTGACATTTCTTTTAACAATTTGAAATCAGTTGATAATAAAACGAATGGTTTATTCGAAGACTTGCTTTCCATTAAGAACTTAAATATGTCTCACAACAAATTCGATATCGTGACGAAAAAAATGTTCCCATACAACAAGTACATTCCTTATAACCTTTTGGACGTTGATCTTAGCTACAACGAAATGCCTGTGCTGACCACAAACCTAGTCATCGGGCTTCAAAAAGTGAAAAAGTTGAATTTTTCACACAACATTTTGAACGACCTCCGCCCTAGCGTCTTGGGAAACCTATCCCAGCTCGAAGAGGTTGACCTAAGCCACAACCACTTGGACGCCGTGGGTACAACCGTGTTCGCAAGAAATTCAAAGCTGCGAAAGATCCACCTTCAAGGCAACCAGCTCATATCTCTGCCGGCAGCCGTATTCATGTCCAGCGAGAACTTGACATACCTCGACCTCAGGAACAACCAACTGCACAACTACTACGACGAGTTTGTGCCGAGAGTCGTGAACGGCACTAGAATTCGGTGAGTGAGTTTTGTTAACAACTTAGGATAGGATAGTGTTGTCGGCGCTGATGTGGCCTGTCGCCGATTCTTGTACTTTTCGTGACTTGTGACAGGAGATCAAGAAACAGGTCGTTTGACCGGATTCGAAACTGACGTTAATTTGAAATAGCTAATACAGCCCGACGCAAAAGGTTAGCCCCACCCATTTAAAACATCATAACACATCGAGTTTTGCGAGTTTTATTGTGCAAATGGTGGCAAACGAATCGTCTTGGTCTCAGTAATCAAAATACAATAGACTGTAGTGAAAATGTAATTAGTAACGGAGAAAATGAAAAACACATGTTTTTGCACCGACGCAAAAGGTTAGCCGACATTTTAGGCAAGACAAAACATACGTCAGCTATAAAATTAAAGGCTATTTACCGATATGCTCCCCGTTGGCTTTGTAGACATCCAAGCACCGCTTTTTCATGCTCTGAGACAATCTACGGAGGTAGTTGGGGTCCAGATTGGACCAGGCGGCTTGATTGGCCAACTCGAGTTCTTCCTTCGTGTCATACTGCTTCCCGCAGGCGTAGACGATCCCAGCCTTGTACCCCCCGACGTTCTCAATGGGATTCAAATCGGGGTACTTGGCTGGCAAGTCCATAACCCGGATTTTGACACGCTTGAAGAATGCCTTGGTCGTGCGCGCCGAATGGATTGAGGCATTATCTTGTTGGAAGATGGCGCCGCGGCGAATTTGGTGGCGGATGACGGGAAGTAGATGATCCTCGAGCGTTTGGACATAGTCAAGCGCCAAACTTGCAAAGTGGGGCTAACCTTTTGCGTCGGTGCAAAAACACGAACCGCTTGATTTTTCCGCCAGTAATTAACTTCTTCACCAAATTTTACCTGCTATAGATTGCAGAGCGCAAGACAAATCGTTTGCCACCATTTGTACGTTAAAACTGGCAAAACTCGATGTGTTATGATGTTTTAAAGGGGTGGGGCTAACCTTTTGCGTCGGGCTGTAGTCTTCTACCAGGTCCGTAGGGCGCTAGGCATTTCAAGTCTGAACATATATTTCTCCATAGCTTCATCTAGTCTGTTCTTGAACTTACAACATGAATGTTTGAGCGCTTTGTTTTACCACACCGTGTGTTTATAGCCTTTGATAGATAAAAACTCATTTTCCCACGGTCCTTTGAAATCATGCTAATTTATACTCGTACAAAACGCACTTATATATTCACTAAAACCTGCTTCTTCCTGGATATGCGAGCAGCGAATATGGTTCAGGTAATAGTTTAGTCATCCATTAGGGAGATAAAATCACGGACGAAGGCGCACATGTCTGATCTTATGCCAACGTTGCTCTCACTTTTTTCCAGTCGCCGATTTCCTCTGTGAGCCGTTGATAATACATAATTGCTGCTAATATGTATTATAATAAGGATTAAATCTTACTTAATACAACGATAATTAACTTCATGAGTAGGAGTAAAGTTTAAATTTAAATATGGGCCGTTGATAAGAATTGATGGGCATGATAGCAACGTTTGCAAATCAATGTCACATTATCTCGTGTCAGGCAGTGAACATTTTGATGAAGCAAAAACATTTTCTTGAAATCTTTCTTGCAACAAAAGTTTTCGCTTACCACCGGAAAGACCGTCGCGTACTTTAGTTTGTTGTGAACCACTGCAATATTCGGTAAACTCGACACCCTCTCTATAAGTATTAGATTTTTTCAGCCATGTCGATACCCTCTCTATAAACATGAGATTTTTCAGCCAAGTCGGTACCCTCTCTATAAATATGAGATTTTTTCAGTCAAGTTGATACCCTCTCTTTAAATACGAGATTTATTCAGTCAAGTTGATACCCTCTCTATAAACATGAGATTTTTTCAGTCAAGTTGATACCCTCTCTTTAAATACGAGATTTATTCAGCCAGGTCGATACCCTCTCTATAAATACGAGATTTTTTGCAGCCTAGTCGATACCCTCTCTATAAAAATGAGATTTATTCAGCCAAGTCGGTACCCTCTCTATAAATACGAGATTTTTTCAGTAAGTTGATACCCTCGGTACAGATACGAGGGCAATCCCGTGCACTGTGACTGCGGGCTGCGTCCCGTCATCGCGTGGCTGGCAACCCGCCTGAGCTTGAGGGACTGGCGTGACGTCACGTGCCACTCTCCCTCACGTCTGCAGGGTCAGCCGCTCACTCTGGTACTGGGAATTCTTCTGTACTACGAAAATTAATCCAAAATTTTATCTCGAGCAATGAGCTAATCCCATGTAATTATTAAAAAATATAAATACATTTTGAAGTAATTATTCTAGTGAACGAGGATTCTTTTTTCTATTCATAAAATTCTTTCAGATCGAGGAGAGCCAGCTAGGCTGCGATGACCGCACAGGCCCAGAAGTACAGGTCTCCCCGGATGTGATGTTCCGTGAACACACGTACCAACGTACCAACCAGGCTCGGGTACTGGAACACGCGTTGCACATGGCGTGGTACGTGAACACCCACGACGACGTGGGCAGCTTCAGCATCACCGTGCAGAACATCACGACGGGGCAAGAGCTCACCCAGGCCACCGTGCCCTACACGGCGCGCTTCCATCAGTTTCCTGAGATCACCGAGGGAGTTTACTATGTGTGTGTGGCCGCCGTCAGCAGCGATGGCAGGGTCAGGCCGCTGCAGAAGTCGCAATGCCAGGAAATGAGCGCCAGTCTTGCGGTGACACTCCTTCCGGTGCAGGTCATGATGATGATGTTGATTTCGTGCGCGCTGCTTCTGTTGTGAGGTCAGGACTGCTGTCAACAACGAAACATTTGTGCATCCCAAATAAGGAGTAACCTCCGCCGTGGACATAATAAAGCTCCCCACATCGGCATGGCGGCCTTGGAACAAAAAATTCTGGATTCAACGGTCATAGAAATCGCGGAGGTCTTCATCAGCGTGATAAATACGAGGTGTACAAACAAATTAAGAGCAAACATTTTTCTGAAATATATTTTGAATGAAAAGCTAGCTTCTTTACACCCATGAAGTAGAATATCAAACCTAGTGCCTGTAGCGCCAACAACAACGAATCAATCTGAAAAACTCGATTAATACAAAAAAATAAGTACCTATACAAAAAAAAAAAACAAGTTTACAAAAAGTCAAAATGGGAACAAAATAATACTCGTATGGCCAAGTAATATTTGGAGAAATAAAATAAAAAATATGAATCCTTATTCACAGATGATAATACAGGGTGTCCCAAAAAAAACGATACCCAACTTTGAATGGCTGTAACTCGAAAAGTAATAGAGTTAAAGAAATTTGGAAGGTCAGGATTTGTTTCCTATGTTTTTCTACATCTCTCCACCAAAAATCAAACAGATCGATGTAGCCATAAGCGTTTGATAGAACTTTCAGTGACATGCGCTAAAATCGTGCTTGCGCAAAATTTTAGTAAGATCATTTTGCATAATCATTACGTTGTCTTGACATGTTTCCATTCGCTGTTTTATTTTTTGTATCTTTGGTGAGACAAAAACATGGCAATCTTTGGTGAGAGGCAATCATGACAATCTTTGGTGAGACAATCATGGCAATCTTTGGTGTGAGACAATCATGGCAATCTTTGGTGAGAGACAATCATGGCAATCTTTGGTGTGAGACAATCATGGCAATCTTTGGTGAGACACAATCATGGCAATCTTTGGTGTGAAACAATCATGGCAATCTTTGGTGAGACACAATCATGGCAATCTTTCGTGAGAGGCAATCATGACAATCTTTGGTGAGACAAAAACATGACAATCTTTGGTGAGAGACAATCATGGCAATCTTTGGTGAGAGACAACCATGGCAATCTTTGGTGAGAGACAACCATGGCAATCTTTGGTGAGAGGGAATTTCAAAACCAAAGATTGCCTCTCACCAAAGATTGCCTTTCACCAGAGATTGTCATGATTGCCTCTCACCAAAGATTGCCATGATTGTCTCACACCAAAGATTGCCACGATTGTCTCACCAAAGATTGTCATGATTACCTCTCACCAAAGATTATCATGATTGCCTCTCACCAAAGATTGCCATGTTTTTGTCTCACCAAAGATACAAAAAATAAAACAGCGAAAAGAAAACATGTCAAGACAACGTAATGATTATGCAAAATGATCTTACTAAAATTTTGCGCAAGCACGATTTTAGCACATGTCACTGAAAGTTCTATCAAACGCTTATGGCTACATCGATCTGTCTGATTTTTGGTGGAGAGATGTAGAAAAACATAGGAAACAAATCCTGACCTTCCAAATTTCTTTAACTCTATTACTTTTCGAGTTACAGCCATTCAAAGTTGGGTATCGTTTTTTTTTGGGACACCCTGTATAGAAGAAAAATACTTGATATAAATTGGATCCATCTTGTACTTATTAATTGGCTGTAAGCTTTCAAGCCGTGACTCAACCCAAACTTTAAGTATTCATTTGCGTTGTATATGAGATAATCTCTGCGTGCAGCAACAAGCTACCGATACCGAGGTAATTAGGATAAATAATCCTATTCTATTTAAATATTTACATGCGGTCATTCGGCGTTGATTAACGACGAAAAAATATAAAAAAAATGGTCTAGCGAAACACAGAAATATGAAGTAAAGAAGGTGGTTCAAATATTCGTACATAACTATATAGTAATGACTATTTTCGGACAGATTTAAAATTCATTAGGAGTTCGAAAGTTTGAAAATAAACATGGAAAATGTTCTACAAAATGCTGACGCACATTCGTGAAGTTTGAAGCGACAGGAAAAAATGTAAAAAATTTAGTATTTAAATACATACAAAGCTACATCCAGCAGTTCTTAAGGACTTTTAGTGAGTGTGAACATAAGCGCGATGACACAATAAACCGTATCATAATTTAAAGCATTGATGTCGAGAGTAAAAGATGTTTAAGCTTTACCACAAATAAGTAATATAAATATTTGAAGAAGGTCTAGAGGACTCTGAGGGTGTAGAAGGAGATAAGTGTTGCACTGAGGTTGAAGCGTGTGAGCAGCGTTACGAGATACAACACCAGCAGCACAGGCAACGCAAAGAGCAACACTCGAGTGTTGCGCAGGATGGGAAGACCTGTGGGCAAGGAGGTTGCAAGTACACTTCGAGATAGTGGAATTATGGCTGGAAAATTACCTATTGAATTTGGTTTCCCTGGACAACTGCGCATGCAAAAAAAAAATCATTGCTTGGCTGGGTTCAATTTTGTTAAATGCCGTCAAACATATAATATTAAAATGTGAAGTCAAATGAAAATAAGCAAATTGAAAATGTTTCACTAAATACGTTTCGGCAACTAAGAAATATCATTAGTTCATAACACCCTTGACTCATTAATAATGATTGCAGTAAAGTTCTGACTAGTATAATTTAAAAACATATTTAGAAAAAATTGCAACATTGCAGCAAGTGAAACAAGCTGAATACAATTTTAAAAATAAATTGCAGAGGATACGAGATGCAGACATTACTTAAAGTCCATCTCAATACAATTTTTAAGAATGACTTTACAATTGTTTGGCCAAAAGGACTGTGTGCGATAAAATGAGGTGGATGAACAAGTAATAGTAGTAATGTTCGTATCTAAGTATTCAGTGTTGGTTACTTTAGCTGGCAAGAATTGTATTATTCAAACTAGGCTATTCTTTATATTCGCTTTTATAAAAAAAAGATGAAATTATGTCGCTGTAGCGCTTCTAGATAAATTTCAGCTTCTGTTTGCATTTTCTTTGCTTGAAAGTTTAAATTCAGAATTCAAGCAAGACCGTAATTTGAAGGCCTCGAAACCATCGTAAGTATTTAGGTCAAAGGATGGACGAAAAAGTCAGTAATTTTCCATCGCAATAATTATTTACTGGAAGTTGTGCTCTATCCGTAACGAACTTAATCGGCATAAGGCAGTTGTAGTCAAGATCCTACACAACAACTCACCTGTCTGTACCACAGGACGGTTGTAACCATAGGGTTACACTACAACTCACTACTGTAGCCCAGGACGGTTGTAATTAAGGAGCTACACTACAACTTACTGCTGTAGCCCAGGACGGTTGTAATTAAGGGGCTACACTACAACTCACTGCTGTAGCCCAGGACGGTTGTAATTAAGGAGCTACACTACAACTCACTGCTGTAGCCCAGGAAAGTGATGTAGATGTAATAGCCCAGCGCCAGAAGCCACAGCGTGTTGCCCAGCAGCACTGACAGCAGCGTATCGTCATACAGCAACACTGAAATAACGGGAACAATGAAAACTTTTGCCATAATTATGATTTGATGTCGATTATTGAGCAAGTGCAGAAGATGTTCCAAGGAGACAAGTACATGAAGTAGGAAAAGATGAAGGGATGAGATCAGAGTAAAAGGCGTAAATAAGGAGCAAGAAGATCTTCAGGCACATTAGTGATGGTGAAGAATTAGTAATAATACGCATCGCTACGAATAATTACAAAAGAAGATTGCGAACGCGCATTTGTGAAGGCATCTCGCGCCGGAAGTCACACAATGCCACAAATTTCTCACATGCATAATTTTTACTCTGTCACAAGAGCCTAGCTATCAAAAGGCTTTCTCTGGCAGTAGCTGGCAGAGTAGTAACAGTAATAAATATTCCAGACAGACAAAGAATATATAAGTGAGCAGCAACAGACAAAACGCCAATATAGAGCACAGTATGGATATATTCGCACGCGAATGCAAAATTTCATATGGCTTTAGACAAGCTAGGCACGAGTTTGAAGGTCTTCTCATTGAATTTGTTATAAATAGAAGCGTGGAATAAGTACAGATATAGAAAGGGGAGGGAAACATAGCTGAAGATGAGTAGGAGACAGCAACACTCACCATTATAAAAGAATAACATGACGAAGTGCAGGATGAGGAGAGGGGGGAAGTATGCATTAAGGTGTACGTCAAAGGAGTAGCCCCACTCGACGTCCTGGTCCTGGCAGGTGGGCTTGACCAGGTACTGGTTAACTAGAAACCTGTCAAATCCACCTCATTAAACAGTTAATCTGTATAGATACATCTATAGTCACCTAAGAATATTCACGAGGACTACAATCTTCTCATAGGCACGAGTGTAGGAATAAAAATTTAATATTATTTACTTGCGATTGTGAGACAATGATGTTTAATGTAGGAGAAATCAACAAGATTCAATGAAAAAAGTGAGGAAAAAAAGGTCATACCACAGGATGGTGGCAACGACGGCTCCTGCCAAGAGTGTGTCCACGAAGACGGTGTAGAGCAGGAACACAAACAGGTCCTTCAGCCCCAGGCTCAGCACGAACCCAAACCCCAGCCCTGTAACTGTGGAGATTGTTAGAACCAAGCCATGTAACTGTTGGGCCAGTTAGCATCCCAGCCCTATGACTGTGGGGCCAGTTAGCACCCCAGCCCTGTAACTGTGGAGATTATTAGAACCCAGCCCAGTTTCAACCCCAGCTCTGTAGCATGGCCTAGATGAGACCTAAAATCCCAGCCTATACATATAACATTGTAGTGTAGTAGAAACATTCAGGCAGCTGGAGAAAAGCTCCAACATGCTTTTAGGAAATAGTAGCAATGAGGGCTGTAATTGTGTCGGATCACTAGTGACAGAGAACACAGAATAATTAAAGAAAAAGATTGTTTAACAGAGTTAAATCAGATTGGAATTATCCATAATCACAAAAAAATAGAAATAAAAAAATAAACTAAACAAATTGTAAACAATGCACATAAGATATATACCAATATGGTATATATAAATAATGACTAAATGGTGGATTCCAATGAATTGGGTATATTAATTAGAGCATTCAGAATAATCCATTTGATATACCTAGTAAACTTGTATTTTTACCGAAATGTTTGATTTTAGACAGTTTCAAGATTAGCATTTGTTAAAACGTCTCTGTTTGAACAAGAAAAATAATTTATTTCTTTGATGTGACCATACCCTAATCTAATTTGAATCTGTAGTAGGCAACAGAGAATTTAAGGGATGAGAAAAATATGACCTAAAGTTTGCTCCTACAAATTAATAAGTATATATAATGAAATTGCTTAAAACTCTACTTGTTTTCATATGAAGTTTCATGGAGAGAAATATTCTGGGGTAAACAACAAGGAGAATAATTACCTCCTAGCCAAATGCAGAGTAGCACCAAAAATGCTGGGTCATCTCTTGCAAACTGGGACTTGGTTTCTGCAATAGAGTTCAATTTTGAGCACCAATTCAACATGGGCTAACATAGAAACCAAGATACACACAGCTTAGAGTGTCATGAAGAAACTTCATAATTGAAAATGTTTTCTACAAGCAAAGGATTCCAAATAATAGAACTTGAACAAATCTTGTTTCATAATGCAACAAAGACTGATGAAATAAAAAAATTACAGACACATCATAAAAAACTTTGTTCTCAATTTCTATCACCTATAAAATTATTCTCACATGATACACAATTTTTTACATAGTAAAAAACATATACTGTAGAATGATTGTTGTAAAATTGTTAGTTATTGAACTTCACAAGCTTCAAAAATTTACATTACAAAAGCACACAAATTTTCTTAATGAAACAAAACTAAGTACAACTTGCCCTGGGCAAAATCTTACGTTTTCTATAGTATGAATTTCTAAAAACTTTTCTGGGTGCAGTGAAAAGATAAACCATCTGCCAGGCAGCAAACTCAAAGTCCATCTGACGGAACTTGAAGAGCCGCCTGAGGAAGCGGTAACGCTTGGCCGCAGCAGTCATGCAGCTTTGTCTGCACACAAACCACTCTCTTGAATTACATACACAAACAGGCAAGCATAAATGACAGTAAACTCTGGGAGTCTAGAGTGCCAGTTTGTAGAAGACCAGAGCATTTATCCCACTTCTTGGAGGCATTTATATTTAGTTTGAAATTATCATACAGAAATGAAAGAGCATTTTGCTCCTGCTGATGACCTCAAAAAAGAAACACAAACTCTGAACATCAGTAAATATGCCAAATTTATTTACAGGTAGGTAAGAATTTTTCACCAACCTGTGGTTTACAGGAGTAGGTAATGCAGAGCCACTTCTGTAGCTCAGAGGGACAGAGTGAGCACTGCTGTTGGAGATCACAGAAGGACTTCTTGTGGAATGCTTAGGATTACTGAATGAGTGGATGCTGTTGTTGTTGCTGCTGCTGCTGCTGTTGTTGTTGATGTTGCTGTTGCCACCACTACCAGGATGGCTGGAATAAAAAAATTCTTGCAAATTATCCTGAGTTGTAGATACATTTTACATTTACATTTTTACATTTATTTCTCAATACCAACTTATTTAATTTTCAGGCAATGCTATTGTTTGATGAGTAAGTTAGCACTGTAGTTCAAGTGCTTCTTTAAAGTGAATAATAAACTTTATGTGCAAATGAAACTAGAGTGTATATGTCAATCAATAAATAACATGATATTTCATTATTTTGATGAAGTGGAACTATATATATTACTTTTTGCCAAACATGTCGGATTTATTAATATAAATACTTGAATTTCATGATTATTGTTGTCAGTAGATCATATGGATTGAAAATTCTGCAACAAAAACCATCTTTTTGTGGTGTTCTTTGCTTATAGTTAAACATTAAAAGCCAAAAGAATTTTGGGTGCTTATTTGTTTTGTCTGGAGAATGGAGATATAGGAGATTAAAAATAAAAGAAAATTCCAATAATTTAAATTTTTTTGCTACATACCTTAGCAGTTGTAACTTTACAAAACATAGTTTTTTACCATTTTTTTCAGGAATTTTTCAAAGCAAGTAAATGTAGTATTTTTTGACTTCCTTTATACTAGATAGATAGGAAAAATAGTTGCGTTTACGCCACTATTTTCAGTTTTGCGATATTCCAATTAGTTTCGCTACTACAACAGTTTTACGCCGTGTCATAGGCCTGTCCCGAGTAGCCCCGCCTGTCCCAAGTAGCCCCGCCTGTCCCGAGTAGCCCCGGTTGACGGTAGTTATCAGTGCATATTCATGATATTGATGTAGATGAACTAGCATTACATTTTTTTCAAGATTTATTTTGAGAACATTCATTATGATTTACTGAATACAATTGAAATAATGTCTCTTCTATCCCAAACAGTGAGCAATTCCAGGAATGGTGGTTAATAAATTCAAGCACATTTTAGCATAGTAACTCAGTCTAATCTGATTTAGTTTTGTCTGACATAATGAAAGTCTAGTTAGAGCTTTTTTGATCATTGATCCAATATCTGCCCCTGGGCCCTCCCTCAGGCTCCTTGAAATATTACCTCTGGAATTTTATCTAGTATAAATTTCAACCACCTAAAAAACCATGTCCTAATTTGGGAAAGATATATCTTTTGAGACATAACAAAAGCTTTCTTGCCATTTTGGAAGTTTGTAACCACAAGATTCTCACTAAAAGAAATACTTTGGTGGATCTAATTGTTAATAGAAGTATGTGACTGCATAGTGGCAAAGCAGTGAGTTTTTAGCGCATTTTCTCATTTATGTAAAAAAGGCACTATTATGCTCACCTGCTCATCATGTCTGTCTGTCTGTTTGTCCGTGAGTCTGTTTGTCCATGACTTCACATTTTTGTTGACAAGAAAATGTGCACTCTGTCACTCACTGGCCACTGCAGTGAGTTCCGAGTTATATTTTTTAACCTTTACCTAAAGATCATTTTTGAGGCCTATAACTATAAGTGGACCAGTGAACGAGTAAAGTATCATGGGACATGGATTCTGGGCCCCGCATTATCATACATAAGAAATTGGTTTAGCCCTATATCTTGAGTAGATGAGGAAATTTGAGATGAACAGCCTAACAGGTTTTATAAGATACCTATGTGGTTTGTCATTATGCGTGATCGTGCTTCAAAATTTTAGACGCTTAAAAAAATCTCAGTATGTCACTTTGGAGCTGCAGAATTTTAGTAGGCAAGTTAACACTGTGAAAGTGTGAAACACAGAATTTTTACAAACTGGGAAGTGGTAGGCCTAAGTTAACTATTCAGTCATTGAAGACGTTGCAGCCAACAATAGTAAAACAAGTTAGCCTACCTACTAATTTTACTAGTAATTTGCAAAATTGTAATGCATTTAGGTATAACTATTAATGCAAAACAGCTCTTGTTTCTTTAGTAATTATTATTACTAAATTCATTAATTTAGTAAACGCGGTATATTCCGACACATTAAGGACGCATCGAGAAATGAAAAACTATTAAAAAAAACCGTATGCGTTACGTAAGTTCTGTTGCCTTCACGTGACTCTCAAAACACTTCACTACGCGTCAGCAACGACGAAACGTCACAAAATGTTGCCATATTTATTAAAAAGCCTTTAGAATGGAAACCTACCAAATCCCCATATTCCGTCACTGTGTGTGGCAATATTCGACACGTGGTAAGTCATATTGCGTCAGCGCTTCAAATTTAACTGATACGTAATGCCGAAATCAACATATTCGAATTCCGTTTGCTGTGTGAGCTGTATTGGGATACAACACAGCTTTGAATTAGAACACTAACGAATATTGAACACTACTTAATAACGTTTTAATTAACAGCTATTAGGCTTTTAATTAAGCAAATTTCAATTTTTGTACAAGGCTTGGAACGATCTGTGTGTGTCCAATTCAATTTGTGTCGGAATTAGTTTTGATGGGTCTAAATCCATCACTCAACTTAATCATCTATTCATTTATTTACAACTTAAAATCAGTGAATACAAGTTTACTTAAAGGATTCCTAATATATTCACAGACGTATTTAAAAGTCTCAAACCATAATATTCTTCCTATAAAAACAGTTATTCACTATTTGGTAGAGCAAGGTCAACTGTCAAATTTGACACATTTTGCAATGATCTCGCCAGGTGGCATGCATTGTCTCTCTTTGGATCTCAATATTTTCTTACTAGATGGCCAAGACCTAGTGTTTTTGCAGTATTTTGACACGAAAATGTATGACGTCACGGGCTGTCGTCACCATTTCAACCATCAATGAACGCATGGAACTAAAACAAAGCTTAATATAAAGGAAAAACTAGAGAAGTGACGAAATTACCTACGATGTCGGAATATACCGCATTTACCCTACATTACAGAGAAAAGAATAAAAGATTCAAATAGTATGACTGACAGAGTACAGACTGAGCAACTTAGCAAGTACTACCTAGTATCCTACTAGGAATGCAACTTGCAAGTTCATTGTCTTTAGGTACTTTACGGTTTTCAATCAATTTAGGTATATAGGCTATTGATAAGCATAATTGCATTAAATTAAACAATGACTTACCAGTCTTGCCTCATTTTACTATTTACTCATTTTACTGTTTTCAGTCAATTTATATAGGGCAGGCTATTGATTAGCATAGGTAATTGCATTAAATTAAACAATGACTTACCTCATTTTGCTATAAAAATCAAAGCAAGTAGGCAAAAGTTTGCCACTTGATTTTTTTTAAACACCTATCCACAGATTACATGATTGTACTTTCAAATTTATAATATTCTAAAGTTATTAATATTTTGCCATGACTGGTGAAAAGTTTGTCATGCCAGCTTGCCAAGTTGATGCGTGCCTTGATTTACAACCTTTACGGTAATTTAACTCTAATGCCTAACCTTGTTGTTTCTTTCAAGGTTCGAATAAGTTCCAGAAGACAATTATAAATTACTTTAATTAGGCATAAATTCCCTAGATAAACTGCTGCCTAAGTCTTGAAACTCTGGGCACTTTTCATTACTTGTAGACGATGGCACTTCCAATTTAGTTCCAGACAAATTTCGACTCTCATGCATATCTGCAGCTATCATGTCAGGAAACTGATTCCTGTCACGACCGGAATTATATAAATAACTCACTGAACTAAGGAAAAGTTGAATAATACATTTCAAAGCGAATGTAGATACTTATTTTCAAATTGACATTAGTTATTTGCTAATAGTGTAGCATCTGTTGGAATGTTTTACAACTAAAGGTAATAAAATTGTCACCCATCAAACATATGATCGTAATTTTCTTCCCAGCGAAAATTTCTTCGCGCCTCATTCAAGATTTCAGTTAAACTTCTGCGAGGTAGTGTCAGATGATAATCAGACTTATAACCCATTCATTTATGCAGGCCGTAAATAAATTTCAAAGCAAGAATATTCTGGCTATCCTTAAACTATAAATGTTCTCAGAACAGGAATTCTTTATATCTCGTCTCACTCTCAGAGCGTTTACTTTGACTTAAGTCTCGAAGTTCCTGTCTCTGCATTGGGCATTCATGCGTGCGACAGTTTCTGTCGGTGTGTTCACGTCCAATTTCAACTTTCAAATCAGATCTACGAAGTTACTGCCTATATCATATTAGTTACTGTTTTCTCAAATTATGTCAACTGTTTCGGTTTCAAAGGTATGTTTATTGGTGACAAACTTAGATTTATTCCTTAACTTGATAAGGGAATCGGTCAATTATTCATATCTCCTCAATTCTTCAATAAAATAATAGCTAACATGGTGTCACACTCACGTCACAGTTTGACTTCTTTTTAGACTCCTCTTCAAGTTCGTTTTTAAGTCCTATGGTATGGCTAAACCGGTAAACTTGAGTAAAGTATTGTGGACGGTGGTTACCTGCAAATTGCAATCCCGCATTATACATAAGATATTGGCCCTGTTGGGGGGCTTCAATTTAGAGTAGAAGAGGAAATTGAAACAGAAGAGATTCTAAAAAATCTGTGGTTATACACTAATAACACTATGCATTGTTGTGTCATGTAGCTCATGTCAGATTATGTGTCTGTCAGCAGGGGGGGGGGACTGTGGGATGAGTGGGACTGAGTCAGTCTGAGTGGGACTGTGTGGATACTGGATCATGTGTGAGATCATGCTGTGGGAATGACTCCGAATGAGTGGGACTGTGAGGAGTGGGATGAGTCCCACTCAGTCATGATCTCCCACAGCATGATCTCCCACAGTCCCAACTCCCAATGAGTGGGACTGTGGGAGATCATGCAATGGTGGCATTGTTGAGAGCTTTATTCACAGTTTGTGATTGATGATGGATGACAATTTAAGGTCAAAATGGCTGATGGAGAGCTTGGAAAGCTGCCAATATTTAAAGGTAGAAAACCTTATTGACTATAGCTAGGGTCTAATTCATGGGTGGCTTCTGCCCAATTTTCTAGTTTAGAATTTTCTGGTTATACACTTATAACTAAATATTAAGGTGAATTTATTAAACTGACCTATTCTCTTTTTCAATTATTACCTTTTTTTATCAGGGAGTTTTTGCATTCAAGCGGCAGCATGGCTTGTCTTCAGACAAATCTTGCAAGAAGCGTCGCCCTTCAGCTAAGGTGAAATCAACAGTCCCAAATTGGCCTGGCGATGATGAATCTACTTCTCCTCTACAGGAAGAGAATTACCTCAAATGCTGGGATTCTGTCAGTCAAACACTACAGGCAAGTTTATTTTTATTCAAAAACGTGGAAATTTGGAATGTTCATCTTCAGACTTTGGTTGAGATTCTTGTTAGTTGATATATTTGAAACTAATTTTGATGAGGTTAGTTGAGTGATTTCATTTCCACAATTGTGGAAATTAGTTTGACAATTAGTTTTTTGCAAATTTTATTTGGTCAAAATCTTTTGTAATTTTTACAATGGAAGCTAGGCAAGGGCAACAGACATCTTCACAATCTTTTCGTGCCAATTTTTTTGTTGAAATAAGGCTTTGAACTCCAAAATGTTGCTAGTATTATTAAGGGTTTTATTGAAGACTACTCTCAGACTTCATGATTTGTGCCTATTTTGAACCAGTTTGAAACCCTTTTTAAAATTGTTCTGAAAAACCATAGCCAAATCTCCCTGTGCTGTATACAAGTACAAAGTTGTTAACATTTTTATGAGATCTTAAACCTTAATATAAAGGACATAGAATTGCCTTATTTGCCTAACTCCATAAAGGCCATGGGTTTGTCTTAGTTGCTCAAGAGAGCTTGGCTCATAGCCTATAGGTCACAATTATCCTGCTTCCTTGTAAGCACTTTTTGCAGAAATTGCAGTACCTAGATCACTAAATAGTCTGTTGTGCTTCTGAAACCTAATTTTAGGAGTTGAAGGCAGTGAGTGTTTATTTTTCTTTGTTATTTTATTTTTATTCTAATATTGTGTTAATGTAACCCAACATGTAAGAGAAATACAACAGAATTTCAAAGAGGCATATTTAATAATACCAGTGAAAATCTAAACTGAAAATCATAATAAATAAAGAATTTCATTGCAAATGTTAATGGAATTTCCATCATTTTCATTTTCACAGGGCCTTGAGAAAAACATCCACGAGACAGTATTCAGAGAGCTCGTTGAGTTTGTGTCAAATCAAACTCTGAGATGTGGCAAGCAGTTTAATGAGGACAGCTTGGATGATGGCAGCATACCAGCCGCTGTGCTTGTCATGGGTGTGAACATGCCTGACAGTAGCATGGTGCTATCCAGCTTAGATCATCTGCTGAAGAAAAACAATGTTGCTTCACATGTTGTGTCCCTGAACAGCAGAAACTGTGGCACTCTCAGGTGAGTTGGTGTTAGCTTACTTGACTATAAAATAGTCAAATTATATCATTAAATGTGCTAAAGAAATGCAAATAGGTACCCCAATTATTGTTAAGTTAACATTTATTAGCATCTTGAAATCATATCTTCTGTTTGGAGTGTTGTTGTGTAAGGTGCCCATTTGTAACTTGTGACTAAAAAAAAAATTCTAATTCTCTAGGCAGTGCATAACACATTTAGCTGACCAACTCATCAATGGGTCGTCTAGTGCAGCCGAGGAAGAATCTTGTGATGATTCTTCTTACTCGAGCTCTTCGTCTTCTTCCGATGAAGAAGATGATTTAGCAGAGGAGAAAACCACGCCTAAGAAAAGCAAAAGTCACAGTGGCACTGTCAAGAGGAGCTGCCTAAATATGAATGTTTTAGAGGCCTGGTACAAAGTTAGTATTTTTATCCAATTTAAATCAAATAATAGTTTTTTTTATTCTTTATGTAATAATGTAATAAGAGAGATTTAGTTTGATATTCATAGTTAATGTTAAATTGAATATTTTCTAAACTAAGATTTTATCCAATTTCTCTCATTCTCTGGAAGTCCCATTGCTTCTAATAATTCTGTTTATTCTACTTTCTACTAATAAGAATAAATGTTGCATCCAATGTTCTGATTCAAAACTACAATTGTTTGTTATATCTATATACTAATTGGTTCATCACGAGATAATTTCTCACACTGTGTAATTATTTGTGCAGGAGCAAAAGCAGGAGAGCCCTGGCAGTGATGACGGCAAGATCGTTGTCATGGTAGAGGATGTGGAGAGTTTCCCAACATCAGTGCTTGAAGACTTTATCCAAGTTGTGAGGTGAACAATGCCTTAGTGTTGCATTGAATGTTTTTTCTTGCTGCTTCAGTTCAGTCTTTTCTTAAAATCTTCATGAACAGATGTGGGAATAGTTTGATTTGTTAGAGGTTATGGTTTTATTTTTGATAAATGGAGCATTCAAGTCGTTTTTTTTACCAATCTTTGTACATTACTTTTCTGACTCCGTTTGAAAAGCTTACTCACTGTGCTGTATGGGCATTGTAATATAGACTCACTGTAGTGTGCTCCATGTGCACTGTGCACCCACTGCACTGTGCAGTTACTGCCCCTCTTGTGCAGCACACATCTGGTGCCACTGGTGCTGGTGCTGTGTGTGGCCACCAGCGCCGCCGCCCTGCACGCCCGCCTCAGTCAACCCATCCTGGCGCGCCTCTCCCTCACCTCCTTCAGGGCACAGCCGTCGCACAGCTACCTGGCAACGCTTGTACAGGAGGTATGACAATGCTTGTACAGGAGGTATGGCAATGCTTGTACAGGAGGTATGACAATGCTTGTACAGGAGGTATGGCAATGCTTGTACTGGAGGTATGACAATGCTTGTACAGGAGGTATGACAACGCTTGTACAAGAGGTATAACAATGCTTGTACAAGAGGTATGGCAACGCTTGTACAGGAGGTATGACAATGCTTGTACAGGAGGTATGACAATGCTTGTACTGGAGGTATGACAATGCTTGTACAGGAGGTATGACAACGCTTGTACAAGAGGGATGACAACACTTGTACAGGAGGCATGACAATGCTTGTACAAGAGGTATGGCAACGCTTGTACAGGAGGAGGTGGCAATGCTTGTACAGCGGGTTCATTTGGAAATGCATGTACAGTTAGTACCACGATTGTAGTAGCAGCATGCGTGCAAGTGGTGAAGTGACAAGTTCATATAGGGCTTGAGAGGTTCAAGGTGCGGCGACGACACAGAGCCTATTGAATATGTACTGGTATTTATCATTCTGCATATATGGTGATCTGCACTAAAATTTCAAATGTAAAATCTGCTTAAGGTTATATATGCAGTAGTGCAGACAGAAACACTACCACTGCCTGAAACTGGAACATAAAATTATGTTGAGTTCAAAGATTTTATTAAAAATAGCCACTAATGTGGAGGCAGTGACGGTAACAATGCAGATTCGAATGCTGATGGATGGGGCAGCTGACAAAGCAATGAGTGTGATGATGTTTCAGGTGCTGATGGATGGGGCAGCTGACAAAGCAATGAGTGTGATGATGTTTCAGGTGCTGATGGATGGGGCAGCTGACAATGAGTGTGATGATGTTTCAGGTGGTGATGGACGGAACAGCTGACAAAGCAGTGAGTGTGATGATGTTTCAGGTGCTGATGGACGGGGCAGCTGACAAAGTAGTGAGTGTAATGATGTTTCAGGTGCTGATGGACGGGGCAGCTGACAAAGCAGTGAGTGTGATGATGTTTCTGGTGCTGATGGACGGAGCAGCTGACAAAGCAGTGAGTGTGATGATGTTTCCGGTGCTGATGGACGGGGCAGCTGACAAAGCAGTGAGTGTAATGATGTTTCAGGTGCTGATGGACGGGGCAGTGAGCAGCATGCGGCTGGGAGGCCGAGCGCTACGTCTTCTGCTCGACATGTTTCTTTACCATCACTTTTCTGTCAAAATCTTCATACAAGGACTCAAGGTAATCTTCACAAATGTTTGTTCTATTTATTTGCCTACTAGCCAAATATATAACTGTAGTTATGTACAGGTTTGTATTTTGAGTCTTGTACTAACTTGTTTGTTTTATGAAGGGATCATGTAGTTTACACTTCGTTGAAAATAATTATGCATTTAATATTTTCCATATAACTTTTATTTCAATTTTTTAAGTAATTCTATACTTGGACTTGGACAACCTATACCACCAAATATTAGCCTTGTAACAAATACGCAGTAGATTTTGTGATGGAATAAGTTGGAGACCTCTTCTTGAGGGCTAAGTATGAAATACACAAACCTTAATTAGATGAGTTATAATGAATTAAATAAATTCATGAGAACACAAACATGCATTACAAGTTAAAAGAAAGGCTTATACTTGTACAGACTCATCGCTTTTTGTAGAGTGCTTCTACTCTACAAGCCATGAGTCTATTTTTTCAGTGCCGACACTTCTATTCTAACACTGTGCACTTTACATAGTGCCAATATGTGTACTAACGATGCACACCAATCAACAGTACTGCATGCTAGAGCACTTCCTGAGCACACCAGCGTCGGTGATTTGCTGCCCTGCAGAAGACAGACGACGAGTGCTGAACTCTCTCACTGCAGCGCAGCTCAACGACATCAGGAAGCTGCCCTCGTTCAGGTAGGTACTGTGAGGCCACAACATTCCAGAAAAAAATTAGATCAATACTCACTGCAATGAGTGACAGGGAGCGCATTTTCTCGTCCGTTCGTCCGTGAAGTCACGGTCGGACGGACGGATATGACGAGCCCAATAGTGACTTTTTTCCATAAATGAGAAAATGCGCTAAAAGGAAGCGTATTCGCAACTTTTGCTAATCAGTTCTATTTTACCAAATCTGTACAATTTTTCGTCCAATATTGCCTTTTAAGTAATTACTGTGCTCGACTTTAGCATTTCTTAGTTGATAAGAAAGTATTCATTTGTCAATTGAAAGTAAAGGATGTTGTGATAAACAAATAGGTTACTGAGATGAATAACTTTGATGAGATATACGTGTTCACATGCAATTCAAACGTGCAGATCTTACACGGACAAGTTGCCTATTATAGACCAAGTGCCACTGCTGATCGACGACAAACATTTCAAGGTGAGTTACTGTCACGTTTGACACGTTAGGGTTTTGTTTATCACTAATGTAATGTATTTAATGTTCATAAGTTTGTCTGTATCTTAGGTTCATATTATCTTCACCAGTTTGCTATGCTCAATACGGTAGTTGGGTTAGTGTACTCGAGATCAGAAATTAAAAAAATACTATAATGATACTAAAATCAGAATTCGATCATCATGAAATCTTAGTAAAAAAAAATTGTACAAAAGTGGCTGGATAATTATTAAAATAATTTCTTTAATATCGTGAAGCAAATCCTAATGTAATTAATGTATACGAAATATCATTGGCATTGAAAGGTACTAAGGTACTTGACATAGCAATGCATTGAAAGAGACTTGGTAATGACTAATACCAAGGCTGGTGTGGTTGCAGGACTGGGTGGTGACGCAGCTGCAGGTGCTGGATGACCACCATCACAACCTGGTGCGGGTGCTGCGCCTGCTCCACCCATTTGCCTCCACCACCCCCCACGCTCCCCTCGGCAGACAGGTGCTGCCTTCATGCCTCTTCCCCATTCCCCATATCTCACATTGATTGCTTCATTTAAAACTAATTTTGATTTGTACTCCAGTTGTTGTGTAGAACTTCCTTCTCATGCGTTTTCTGTGGCCTGAGCAATGTTCCCTCTTGCACCAGCTGTGGTCGCTGCTGGCGTTGAGCCTCAACGGACAGCTGGTGGAGGGGATGGGGGATGTACTGAACCATCTGAGCAGCGTGCCACGTGACCAGCTCATCTCCCCTCTCCCTCTAGCCATCCTTGCCCTCTGTGGGGCGACTCACCCCAGCCTAGAAACCTTTGATTAAAACGCTCTATCTTTGATATGTAATTTCTTTTATTGCATGCAGCATAATAATCATGAAACAAGTACAATGATGTATCACTTGATCTATTATGTTTATTATCATGCATGAAAAAATTTTTTTTCCACCCAGCATGCCTATGGTGGCTTGTTCCTCTGCGTAAAGTTGTAAGGAGCAGCTGTATCTCTACCCTCAAATGTGCATTGGCCTCTTCTTTTAAGCCAGAGGTTTTCGAAGATTTTGAGTTCTTGAGTGAAATTGCTGGAGGAAATAATTTTTTTTGTAGGAACTGCTTGATGAGTTGTTGAACATGGACGACTTGGACAAGACAACAACACCTGACTCGCCTCCGAGTTCTGGAGGTGCCGCCCCCCTACTCCCCAGCGACCGCTTCAAACTCAAAGAAAAACTCCAGGAAATGGCCAAGAAGAAGCAAGCAAAGCCCAGCAAATTTGCCGTCGTTCGCTCCAAAGTTGTAGAAATTATAGATTGTTTAGTGAAGGAGTTTTGTGTGGTGCCGTCCACCCTTGCCCTACACGAGGCCGTGTATTTTGATGATGCTGGTGTCGTCTCCAGCGGCCTCATGGGCAAGCATCGAGCCGCTATCAACAAAGCTCTCACTAACCCGGCTGCTTACCTTCATGTGAGTTATAACCCAAATTCGCTTGTACTCAAGGCTGAATTTTCTTAACTTTATTGAAAGATCTCTTTCGAATATTTAAAAATTCCTTCAGTACCGGTGAGATTTTTTCTCTTTGTCTCTGATACCTTGTTTCCATTAATAAGTTAAAGTTTGCTTATACCTCACCAGTGAAATAATTTGATCTTTAGTGAAATGTACTCGCAATTTTAAGAATTTATAGAATTTATTATTGACGTAGAATTGCTTCATTTTTATCTCTGAATATTGTTGCGCTTACAAAAAAGTTGCTGGACTTTTCTCACATTCCCAATTTTTCCTCTTCAGTGAAACTGAAGAGGAAATTCACACAATTTTAATTTTTTCACATTATTTTATGTCTACATCTACGTATATTGATATTTTTTCAGTGCGAATGCTGTAAAGACAGCAAGGACTGGAACAGCCCCAGCCTGCCCGATCTCTCCATCGTGTACCGCTTACATCTCGAGTGCGGCCGCCTCATCAACCTGTACGACTGGCTGCAGGCCTTCTGTGCGTGTGTACAGGTGCGCAAAAACAACCTCATTGAGGTAAAAAATAACGCACCAGAAGATACTGATGAAGATGTCAACAAGAACACGCCCAAGAAAAGGAAAAATGCAGCGGTGAAGAAGAGTCAGGAAAACGATGATGGGGTTACCCCGCAGTTACAGTGAGTTTTCATCGAATGTGTGGAAGTTTTATGGGGGTTAAATTACAAGTTACTTGGAAAACTCGTGTAATACCTATCACAAGTCACTGCTGGTAACACGTAACTCACAGTGATTCAAATTCGAAACGTCAGACTGGGCTCGCTATTTATCAAACTCGATTTGTTATTGAAAATGTTAATGCGACACCAATCAGATATATCTTGCACGGTTACGGTACCTTCATTCCAGAGTTCACCTCGCGATATGTTTCAATTGAGATTAAAGTTTTCTCCATGAACCAATACAAAGATAACCAATTATATACATAATAACCATATACAAATTAATTGTGTAATTATATACATGTTATAAAAGTTGACTTGTATTTCAGAGCCCGGTTCGTACAGGCCGTGTCGGAGCTGCAGCTACTGGGCTTCGTCAAGACCTCGCGTCGCAAGACCGACCACGTCGCCAGACTCACCTGGGGGGGCTACTGAACAACTATATTATTTCTATTAATTTTGATATTATTATAACCATTATTATTTCACGTTTCCTCATTATTATCATCATCATTGACCCGTCGCGCCTTTAATTGGCAGCTCAATGTTTATCATTAGAAAGCAATCGTCCAATCGTGTGCAGGTGATTTTTAATTTCTATATTATCGGTGTATTTATTTATTTATTTAGGGCATGTGGGAGAGTTCTGAAAGCTGTCTAATCTAGAAATTCGATGAATTACTTTCAATTCCAATGGCCAGATATAGTTTAATCAGTAAAAAGTGGCTTGATGTAAACACGTTTCATCCTAAAATTAAGGCTGCTTTTCTCATTCCTGATATGGGAAAACTACTTGTTTCATTTAATGTTGAAGATAACATGATGTTTCTTTCCGCATACAGAACAGCTTGTTGTTCCACCCATGCAGACGAAACCTAATTTAAATATTCTTCCCGAGATGTACGTACGTACTTGTAATGCAGACTTTGTACCTCTGCTAGAACTGGTCTGTGTTTAGCCGCTGATGGTTATTTTAACTTGGTATTCCATGGTCGTAAGTTATCAACACTCAAATCTCTACTGAGCTTCGAAATTTCCTGTTCGAAACTGAAAATATTTAATTGTTCGAGTATTAGTTAAGCGCTGTCACGGTGACTTGTAAACTGTTTATGTGACTTTCGAACATTTCCTGGACTACCGGCGTAAGAATTTTTATTAAAAACTTCTGTTTCCACAACTTGAGTTACAATTGATTTTTCAATAAGTTCCTTAACAAATTCTTACGAGCATGTAGGAACGTTCCAAATGTAAAATGCTTTAGTGAATTCATACGTTTTCTTAAGTTTTGAAATGAGGATTCGTGATGGAACAATTTACCGCAATCCATATTTGGCTTGAGAAATTGAGAAAAATTTGGTGACCTGAAAAAAATTGGTAACCTGAAAAAGCCCATTTGACCATTCTGAATTATTTTTTAGCCAACTTCCAAAGCGGGTGAACGTAAACTTAGGCTTTACAGTGATATTCCAGAGATGCTTTGTCATGGTTCCGATCACTGGCCTTGCTTAGCAGCGTCGGCACCGCGGCAGGAAAGAGAAATTCGCTAAGATCTTTGGGGCCTTGACCAGCATCGCTTTATTGTCTTGTAAATTACAAATAAGCATATAAGAAGAACACGCATTAAGTACAACTAAATTGAAACACTGGGCTTATTCATACTGAGGAGTGCATTATCTATGCACACGGAACGGAAAGCACAGTGTGCGACTCTACGACTTAATCTTCACTTAAAACCCATACAAAATGTAAGCAAAATTACGAGTTAACAATGTTTTGATTTCATCTAATACTATTAAGTTGATCAGGTAGAAAAATCGCCCCAATAAAACATTTCCACATCATCGGAAAACTGAACAAATAAAAAGTTCCGTCGTAAAATCAGGTCCATGAATAATGCTATTTGAACACTTTTACTCGGAACTTTTAATTGTGACCATCTAATGAGCTTTGAGCATGTTGCACATCCCTGAAAACAGACGCCATGTATCTTCATTTGTGAAAGCAAAGAGACGTGCCATGAGCATGTTAATGTCATGTCTGCGCAGGCAGCGAGACGTGTCATAAACGTGTTCCTGTTATGGTTGGCTGGTATAGAAAGCTGTTATGCGTGGTAAAAGTATAAAAGCTTGATTATTCCGCATTAAATTTACAGAGTAGTAATGTCATTGAGTTTGTGTCTCGGAACACTTCAGTGAAATTGAAATATTAAGTGTGTTACAGATTTTTAGAACCTGTGAGAGAAATAGATAAATGCCTGAACTTTTAATGAAGCTTCTCCACAATTTTGAAATGAATGTAAAACATTGTCGTAGCACCGCAAAATAATTATCTTGAATTGTGATTGAGTTCTTTTTGAACTTACGGTCTCTTATTTGATTATCGCCCATGCATATTAGTCAGGACTAAGTATATTTTCGGGGTAAGAAGTGACGCAGTGACCTTAAACGACATGTCGTTCGTGCGTACGTATTCAAACTGAAGCAAAAGGTTGAGTACTAAAACCGAACAAAACGTTAAGCACAACCGAAACTTAATAGATTTTTTTACAGCAGCAGACGTTAAGTACAAACGTGTTCGATATTCAAACTGAAGATGACGTCAAGTATAAACTTGTTAGATTTTTAAACTATACTAAACGCTTTATAAAAAATGAAGTAGGCGCCAAGTAGAAACTCATTACATTTTCAGACTGAGCCAAACATTAATTACAAAAAGACGTAGCGCTTATTTGAAAGTTCGTATGAATTCAATCTGAAGTAAAAGCTAAACTTTGATCAGAAAATTTATTTGCTTGTTAAAATTGTTTGAACCATTAATTCCAAATGTCGCGAGTAATCATGAACCAACAAATTATTTTCGCCACAATTATGAATAGATAAATTTTTTATCAGTGTGATCCGTAATTAAAATTTGTACAAAAGAATAATTTTAAATAATAACTGGAATAACCAATACCTGGAAACGGACACCCAGTGCAAGGCTTCAGCTCGTGGTAAATTCGTTTAAAGTTAATATATAACAACTCAAACTAAACTAAAATTTCTTTCACATCCTGTCTAAATCCAGAGAGGAAATTTTCACTTAATTCATTAACAACAAACATCCGAGTTCAACAGCACTGACAACAATACAAGTTCTGATTGAAAAAGGTTAGCAAACACTGATGAACAATTGCAGGGATAACAGGCTACGCTTATCTTAGAGGAAGGTTTAGGCTAGAAATAAAGGCGTAACTTTTAACCTTATTTACACACCGTTAACATTAAATGAAGCTTTGGCGCAGAGAGAATAATAATACAAGGGAGAAATGGTGAATGGATTATGGATAAGAGGTGAATAGGATATGAGGTGAATGATGAACTTAGGAAAGAGGTGGATGAACAACATATTGAAGAAGAGGTTATTGAATTAAGAATAGGTGACTGGACTTGGGATAAGAGGTTAATGAACTGATGATAAGAGGTGAATGATGAACTCGGGAGAAGAGGTGGATGAACGTGAGAGAAGAAATGAATGAGCATAGAAGAGTAAACTGATGAAACTGAGAGACTTGAAGCCACCAAAGTACACCAAGACAAAGGGGAAGAGTAAAAGACAGGAAAGGAGGAAGAGACGAGAAGAAGATTGATAAACCTGTGAGTAAAAGGCGTGTAGAAGAGATGGCATGAGATAGTAATTGAGGGAAAGAGGAGAGCAGGTGGGATGGTGATGAAAATAAGGGAGAGGAAAAGAATACAGGAGGAAAAGAGAGCTAACAAGCAGAGGTAAAAGGTGACCAGACTGGAGAAGAGGATAAGATGAGAAAGAAAAGAGACGATGACAGGTGAATATGACTAAGAGATAAAACAAATAGGAAAGATGAATATTAAAAAACTAATTGCTAAAAACGACTAGAGCACGAATAAATTATAGACTAAGCAGTAAGCAGCTCAGTAACTAGAACAAGTACATGGCAGAGCGCCAGGATAAGCGTATAATCGGTAGCTTCTAATCAAGCCTTGCGCCCCAACCGCAAGCCGGGAAGCCTTGCGCCCCAACCGCAACCTGGGAAGCCTTGCGCCCCAACTGCAACCCGGGAAGCCTTGCGCCCCAGCCGCAACCCGGGATGCCTTACGCCCCAACCGCAACCTGGGAAGCCTTGCGCCCCAACTGCAACCCGGGAAGCCTTGCGCCCCAGCCGCAACCTGGGAAGCCTTACGCCCTAACTGCAACCCGGGAAGCCTTACGCCCCAACCGCAACCCGGGAAGCCTTGCGCCCCAACCGCAACCCGGGAAGCCTTGCGCCCTAACTGCAACCCGGGAAGCCTTACGCCCTAACTGCAACCCGGGAAGCCTTACGCCCCAACCGCAACCCGGGGAAGCTCCTAAACTCCTTCTACAGCTCCAACCTTACTTCCCTAAAGTTTTTGCAACCTCTCGGGGTTACAAAACGGTTTACAGAATTCCTCAATGCTTTATTGATGGCGTGTAGGTAACATTTCGGGATGGAATGGCTTTGCAACTTTTCACGATCACCTCAGATTTCAGGTAAGAATAGCATTGCAAATGTACATCACTGATCGAACAAATCATTGTCAATGCAATAGTAGCATTTCATCTGTACATCACTGCACCATCACATCATAGTACAGGAAATTGGAATACATTGTTCAGTGCCAAAAGAACAGACAAAAAATCCAACAACAAAATACAAATAAAATTTTCTTTCAAACTAATTACGTTACTGATGGACAATAAAATAATGTTAGAAGCTTCGCTCTGACAAAATGTCATTCCGTTTTTAATTTGTTAATTTGGCAGCCAAAAATATTGCGCAACCTTCACTAAGAAGAATTGATGGCCTAGCATGTGAGCCCTGCAGGGTAATGCCATTAGGCCTCAACCATTATTCAATTTATTCATTTCCATTATTCAATTATTAGTATAGTGCTGTCGGCGCCGAAGAATAAGCCCATTATAGCCTGTCACCGATTCTTGTACTTTTCGCGACACAGGAGATCTAAAAACAGATCCTCTGACCGGAACTTTTCTAAATTGACGAAAGTTTACAATGGACTAGGCTTGCACCGGGTTCGATATGGTTGTTATTTCAAGTCTGAACATATATTTCTCTATAGCTTTGTCTAGTCTGTTCTTGAACGCGTTCATACTCTGATTGTCCCCGATGTAATCAGGAAGGCTTTTCCATATGTCGGTGACACGAAGCGAGATGAAATGTTGTCGCATGGATGTGTTACAAAGCAGTTTTTTAAGTTTATAGCCGTGGCCCCTGATGTTGGTTCCTGTTTCAAATTCTTGTAATCCTTCCGGGACTTTGAATAAACCATGAGTATACTTGTATACTTCAATGAGGTCACCACGCAGACGTCGATAACTGAGGCTTGGAAGCTTCATAATCTTTAATTTTTCTTCATAAGGCTTGCCTTTTAATCCCGGAATTATCCTTGTTGCACGTCTTTGAACACTCTCTACTAAATTTTTGTAATTTTCAAGTTTCGGTGAGCACACGGCGTTTCTAAACTCTAGGTTCGGGCGCACAACAGTAACAAACAACTGCTTCATTGCTTCTCCATCTGGGAACTCGTAGGAGCGTCTGATAAGTCTAAAAAAAGTTTATCGGATTTATTAGCTCGCATTTCAATATGTCTAAAAAATTTCAGCTCCTTGTCGACATAAACTCCCAAATCTTTTTCCACTCTGGACTTTTCAATCAATACTCTCTCGTTGCAACCATGTCTTCTCATACTGTAATCTTGCTGTTCATTGTTCTTCCCGAGGTGAAGTACTTTACACTTGTCGGCATTAAAACGCAGCTGCCACGTATCAGCCCAGTTAACTAAACTGTCAAGATCATCTTGCAATTGCACTCTATTCGACGCATCCGTAACTGAACTTGAGATGATGAAAATAGCACTCGAGACGATTAAAATCGTAATTGAGACAATTAAAATCGTAATTGAGACAATGAAAATCGCAATTGAGACAATTAAATCGCAACTGAGACAATGAAAATCGCAATTGAGACAATTAAAATCGCAATTGATACAATGTAAATCGCAACTGAGACGAAACACAATTGAGACGATACAAATCGCAATTGAGGCGACGAAAATCGCCGCTTGAGACGATGAAAATAACGCTTGAGACGATAAAAATCCCGCTTGCGACGATAGAAATCCCGCTTGAGAGGATGAAAATCCTGCTTGAGACGATGAAAATCACGCTTGAGACGATAAAAATTGCGCTTGAGCCGATGAAAATCACGCTTGAGACGATGAAAATCACGCTTGAGACGATGAAAATCACGCTTGAGACGATGAAAATCACGCTTGAGACGATGAAAATCACGCTTGAGACGATTAAAATCTATAAGGACGTTTGAAAAAGCGCATTCACCATTAAAGGTGCAGCATATCAGAAGCCACGTTGAAACTGAGACACTAGCTAATTATTAAATCATAAAATTTAAAATTATCCATAATTAACTCAATAATAATTAATAATTGGAAGCCCAAAATATGGACATATGTATCCATATCTCAGGCATATAGTTACTTCCTAGATGTCTTATGCCTGAAGTACTAAGGTATCTGCCTATATTTTTTGCATCAAGCTTCTTACGTACAATAGAATGCCTAAAGCATGTATATCTTTCTTCCTATTCACGCCCATACTAGTCATAAATTAGAGCTATAAAGTTTAACTCTCCTGCATGTCGTATTTCATGCTGACGCTTATGCATAGCAAATGTTTTATTTATAATCAGCAACATTGAACGGCTATCAACAACCATAACCATGAAAGAGTTTAAAACATTTTCTTATAAATCAAACTTTTTACAATGTTTCCAATCGGGAATCTAGGCCGCGCCGCTCGCAATTTAAATGTAGCCGATCAGAGGCGTCGTTTGGGCGTGAGTTCGTACCATGTATATGAGACCAGGCAACGCTTAAATGTATATTATTAAATACTATATATGGAATAATATATTTTATATTGATATTATATGTATATATAGAGCTTGCTTGGGTCGTTCTACGGTTAGGAAATTACGAACCTTCAAAGGTGGGGCACGGATGAACAACCGTACTACCGTCGGCGTTTCTCACTAATGTTTTTGTTATACACTTATTAAAATTTTTAGAAATTCACACTATTTTTTCCTGCAAGCTCATTAATAAAATTACAATTTTTCCTTCTCGTGGGAGCAAACTGCACAGTGACCAATGAACAGCGTTAGCAAAAGTATCAACATTAATCAAATTGATAATTAATCATTGTTACTCTACTAAAAATATAGATGCGATGACAGCGACAGAATTTGAAATAGGGTTTATTACAATTTAGGTGAATAGGCATCAATGCCTATTGAAGTTTCCGCTTTTGACAGGTGCAACTTCTTAGAATACGCATCAGGCCTACGCCGTAGCCTCTGCCCGACTGTTTGAGGGCGGAAATTACGCCGGTAAATGGGAAACTTCGCCTTCGATATGCCAGTGAATCATACGCGTTATATTCTCCCTTGACACGACCGCGACTTCTTAATCACGTGCGACACGAACTAGATTCTCGAAAGGCTTGGGCAGTAATACATTTTCTCGCTAGTTGATTTGAACGAAGGTTCAGTTTTGCAGTGGACTTAAGATCCAACAACGGTAAACAACTATAGTAGAAACTACTAATAATTATCCTACACCTCGTAGTAGTAATTACTTAGCTTATTCCTATTTTATATTTATTTATAAACTTACAATTATAATCTAAATCGAACGTACGTAGAAGCGTTATGAGTCTGGAGAGATCATGGTTGAGCATAAGCAGCTTATGAACTTATGTAATGATTATAAAACTTGCTTATCAAGTTCACCACAACTTGCTGACTCCTAAGACTAGCCAATAATTTTCATCATTACTTGACAAATTTTTATTACGGACTAATCAAGCTCACACTCAGCCGGAAAAATGAATTCTATGAACTTAAATGCAGATTTACCTGAACTTAAAAATTTGATGACAGAAAAACCACTATAATTCGATGCAACTTCAAGCAATAACTTATAAGCTTTAACCTAGTTGCAAATAAGCGCAACTTTTATAAAATTGAATAAGTTTAACCGTGGCTTCGATACGGAATCAGCCATTTGGCAACATTAATAATTTTTAGCACCGCATCTAATGACCTGATAACGCGAGTTAACGCCAGCCCCAGATTTTTAATTTGCACTTTTTAGTTAAGTAGAAGAAATTGGTTTGGTGTTGCCCATTTTGATGTTATTTAGTTTCGTTAAAGTTAATCCATGGAAAAAATGTTAAAGTTTTTAGACGTTTTAAGCTTTCAAACTTTGGCGAAGTGAACTAAATTAATGTTAGTTCTCGGGGCCCATGTAGTCGGCTCCTCTCTTTTGAGCAACTTTGGACATGATCACGTCGATAGGTGGGGTGGTGTCGTACAGGGCAGGTGCCCTGAAGATGATGCCCACCGTGCCCAACACCCCCGCCAGGGTGAAGATCCAAAGGAACAGCCTGTCCAGCACCATCGCCACGTACCTCCAGTCCTGTTCGATCTGTGACACGCCAAGCAATTTGGGTTACATTCAATGAATTTACTTATATTATGTGTGGTTAGAGCATCTTACTTACTTAAACCGCCAATTGTTGCTGAGTTAAACGTAGTCTTGTGGATTGCAGTTTGTTGTTAAGCTAAAAACCAAGTGTGAGGCGTGAAAATTATAGGCCAACTGAAATTTACACTTAACAAACATGCCCATACGTTCACCTGTGTTCCTTCCTTATATATCCGACCTTCCTCAAATCATTCCATATCTTTTCAGATCAGTCGAATCATTCAAGTCGCTCTCTTCATAGCTCCTCGTTACGATCCTTATCGTAAACGAACTCTTCAAGCATATATACATTTCAAGTTCCGGAAAACCACATACGCATCTATATCATCCACGTTATACTCAAGAAACCAATGCGCACTCTGTTCCCTGTTTAATGGTTCACAAGTCTCTTGTCTTCCTCAAATGTTCTAGTCTTTCTGCACACATCTTCGAAAAAGTCCTCATCCGTCATGTCTCCTGAATGCATCCAAGTCACTCTTCATCCCAGATGTCACACTGCCTTCCTCTTCAAAAGTGCCCACTCGAATCACTATTGCCTCAAAGTTCACCAAGAATGCAAAAGATAAGAAAACGCCAGTGCATTTCAGAATTTATAAAATATTTGCTTTTATATTCTTGGTAAGCTCATCACAATGCATACCTCCTCGAAAGTGTCCACATTCTACATTACCTCAACGTTTGTTTGTACACACTGCATACCTCCTCGAAAGTTTCCACTCTCATCATACCCTCAAGTTTTTAATGTCACAGTGCATACCTCCTCGAAGGTGTCCACATTCTTCATGTGCTGGGCGATGTAGTTGATGCTGGTGTAGGTCTTTTGTTCAGTGCTCGGTGTGTCGTCAATCATAGCTCCTCGTTACGATCCTTATCGTAAACGAACTCTTCAAGCATATATACATTTGATATATAAATTTCAAGTTCCGTAAAACCACATTCGCATCTTTATCATCCACGTTATAGTCAAGAAATCGATGCGCACTCTATTCCCTGTTTAATGGTCCACACGTCTCATGTCTTCCTCAAATATTCTAGTCTTTCTCCATACATCTTCGAAAGAGTCCTCGTCCTTCATGTCTTCTGAATGAATTCAAGTCATTCTTCGTCCTTTGTTAAACGAGTCCAAAACGAGTCCACTTTCTCAACGTCCTCCAAATCTTTAACGTCACACTGCCTTCCTCTTCGAAAGTGCCCGCTCGAATCATTGCCTCAAAGTTCACCAAAAATTTAAAAGAAAAGAAAACGCCAAGTAAATTCACATATCTTCAATGAGTGCATTTCGGAATTTATAAAAGCTTTGCTTTTATATTCTTGGTGAATCGTCACAATGCACACCTCCTCGAAAGTGTCCACATTCTACATTACCTCAAAGTTTCCACCGCACTAATATACTTCCTCGAAAGTTACCACTCTCATCATACCCTCAAATTTTTAATGTTACTCTGCATACCTCCTCGAAGGTGTCCACATTCTTCATGTGCTGGGCGATGTAGTTGATGCTGGTGTAGGTCTTTTGTTCAGTGCTCGGTGTGTCGTCAAGTTCATCAATCAACGCAGAATCGTCCACCCTGGGTGGAGGGGCGGGCAGGGCCAAGGTATCGGTGGGAAAAAACTTTGTACTATCGCCGTATCTATCGCGGTCGTAACGGGACGGCGGTATCGCAGGAATATCGTAAGGTGCGTCATCGATATCAAATTTAAGCGTGTCTGATGTCGGGGTTATTATAGCCAGAGTGTCTGTGTCTTCATCCTCATCTTTGCTAGGCCTCTCAACCCACAGGTATTTGGGCAAGGAATCTATAAAAACATAGCGTACCCACGGCGCCATCTTATGAGTGGACGGTGATCGGAAGTTGACATTGAGTACTCCTATGGTGACCATAACAGAAAAAGTTACTAATATCATTGTAAACAATAAATACTTCCCTAACAGCGGCACAGAGAGAGAAGTAGGAGGAATGATCTCAGCCAAAAGTAAGAAGAATACAGTGAGCGAAAGTAGGACGGAGATGCACAACGACACCTTCTCATTAGAGTCCGAAGGAAGATAGAAGACAAGTACTGATAAAAACGATATTCCTACACATGGGATGATGAGGTTTACTGTATAGAACAATGTCTTGCGCCGCATGGTGATGTTGAAATAAATGTCAGGGTAAGGCTCCTCGCAACATGGGTAGAATTTCTCGTTCCTGACAGCTGGCACTGTCAGGATGTCCCACTCAGTGGAGATGTAGTATTCCTGCAGGTCTATGCCTGGGTCTACCACGTTGCTGTCAGCTCGCTGGTCTAGATGCTGCAAGTCCACCTGTGTGGAGCAAGTCATGTATGTGTAACGAATTATCAAGATGTGACAAGTTGAAAATAGGTCACATTTCTTGTAGAGGGAACGAGTCTCGTACATATAATAAGTTTTTATACTATACCTAATAAAATGAGATTGATCGAAGCAAGTCCCGACATTCTTTATAACTGCTCACTAGATCATTCTATTTGAATATAAAATCATTTGTGAGCAGTCATGGTAATTCAAGGCAGATGTAGAGCATTAAGATACACCCAAATTAATTTTTGTGGAACTCAATGCATAGCGTCTCCCACATAATGTACGAAATTTGTGTTTCTAGATCTGAACTTCTTCTGAACTGAATTTTGTGAACTGACGATGGAGCTGGACTCCGAAACGTTTTCTCTTATAAAGATATGGTGAATTTTTGTGGTATTGTTTTTGCTTTTAAATTCCTACGAACCTTTTAATTATAGAATCAGTTGATTCGCTCTCAGAAACTCGATCCGTACTCGGTACTACACAACATACTTTATGTATACATCACATGAAGCGGTTTTGAGTCCAGTACCCGAACTTCATGAAGCAGGTCTTACGTATGCCACGATGCAACACGTACCACTAAACATACTCCGTGTATACGTACCATGTAGCCATCATAGGTCCAGGACCCGAACTTCATGAAGAAGGTCTCACGTATGCCATGATGTACCACGTACCACTAAACATACTCCGTGTATACGTACCATGTAGCCATCATAGGTCCAAGACCCGAACTTCATGAAGCAGGTCTGCTGGTCGAAGGGGAAGTACTCGACGTCGATCTCGCACGACGACTTGTAGATGGCGGGGGGTGTCCACTTGACGCGGCCGTTGTGGTGCAGGATGGCCTTCGTCATGATGGTCACTTCGTAGTTACCGTCAGCGCTGGACCACGGGATTGCCATTACTCGTATAAATTTTTAGCATTACTCATATAAACTCTTTGGTTATTAATGACAAGTGATTATTACTCATGTAAATTTTCTATCGTGCGTCGGCATAATGTATCATGTAGCACGTTGCAGGCATGTGTAACGGTAGTTAGTGGTATGTAATTATTTGTTAAGTTATAATACAGTACTTACATGGTGATTCAAGGAAACTTCCTGTTCTGTATTTCGCGCAAAGCAGCCAGATGTTGGAGGAAAATGGCAGGGAATATTTCATATACTACAAGGTCATAAACTTTTGCGTTGCACCTAGTCAGTTAACACCATGAATTGAACAAGTGAGCAGCGTGCGTTTGTTGTCGAGGCGTACTTTTCTAATAACCGTTTTGCAGAGTTGTCTCTGTCTGCGACAAAATTTTGTACAGCGCTTCATCTCTTTGTGAGGTGACCATTGGCCGGCCCGATCCCCCGATTTGACTCCATGATATTTTTTGTATGTGGCTACCTTAAATTAATTGTTTACAATGACTGTCCAAGGACTCTAGCTAATTTGAAGAACAACATGCGCCAAGCCGTCGCCAACATACCCGTCAATATGCTTCAGCAAGTTCAACGGAACTTCAAAAATCGACTAACTGAACGCATTGTCAATGTGGGCCTCATTTGTCGATTGACAATGAGGGCCAACAATGGGGTTAATGTTGTTTTTAATTGAATTTATCTAGTAATGGTGTCTTCACTAGTTCTTTTTTTATTGAGCTTTCAAATCAGAAGTTTTCGTGGATAACCCTGCCGTAAATGCGCACCCTCGTTATTAAATACAAAGTAAGCCTGAGCACCCACTTGTTATAAAGTACAATATCAGGTAGCCAGATGTGCTGGGACGGCACATGTAACGTCTGTACTCCACCATATTCCTCCGGGTTCCACACCAGCTTGTAGTCACTCCATTCCTGCAGGGGAGAGGAGGGGAGGAGAGGGTCAGAGGTCACTTGATTTTGGGATGAGGGTGTGGGAAGTGATCTTAATATTCTGTGCAAAAATGATCGTTTCTAGACTGTAAACTGTGAGTGATACTTCACATTTACCGGGCTATATTCATAGGCAAAGGTGGGCAGTAGCGCGCTACATATAGCGGCGCTACATTTAAGCAATTGTAGCGGTAACGGTAGCGCCCGCTACATATTTAAGTAGCGATACGAGGTTTTGCCGCTACAGCGCTACCGCTACATTTATAGATAAAGCCTTTAGATTTTACTTAATAGTTTTAAATATTATTTAAAAATCAGCATTATACATACATAATATAAATTACAGAATAAAACTGTACGAAAGATTTCGGTGTAATGTTGTCAACCTCAGTCTGCTACTAGTGTCAACATGTTAGTTGCTACCAGAGGTGGGCAGTAGCGCGCTACATGTAGCGGCCGCTACATTTTCAGTAGCGGTAGCGGTAGCGGCGCTACATTTAGAGCATGTAGCGGTAGCGGCCGCTACATTTCAAAGTAGCGCTGCCCAGCTCTGTTCATAGGAATAATGTCGGTCTTCTCAAAAATATCGCCTATCTACTATTCGTTCAACCTCCTATTTAACGCTGCCCCGCAGCCTTTCCCCTTACCACCGACGCCGCTCCACCCCACAGAGGCCGCTATCTCGCGTTTAATTTCCTTACGCCGGCGCTGCAGTCTTTGTCGGGGGCAAGACTTGCGAGACAAGATCATTGTGCTCTGTTGTGGACGACTGCAGGGCATTACGAGACGCTGTGAGACTTTCAAGACACTGCATTACACTGCTAGGAGCTCCAAGACAATGCGAGGCGAACAGGGCACTTCGAGACATGAGGGACATTGCGAGACACTATGATGTATTTGTGACAATTCACGTCTTTGCTGGACACTGCATGTCACTGCGAGACACTTTGAGACTCAGCCACCGTATGAGATACTTCGAGACTCTGCCACCGTTTGAGACACTTCGAGACTCAGCCACCGTTTGAGACACTTTGAGACTTAGAGGCCTCCGTATGAGACACATCGAGAATTTTAGGCTACCGTATGAGACACTTTTAAACTTTGCGGCTACCGTATGCCCGCCGCTGCGTATGTGGTGGCTGCAACGCTCAACTGACAGCAATTTCCTACTGAACTAACATTGCTGTCAGTTGCTTTCCAACTGACAGCAATTTCCTACGCCCGCCTTCAACGTGTCGCGCCTTGCGTTCATAACAAAGTTTATGTAGGATTACTGATGATCTAAATAATGCAGTTCAATGAGTTATTTGTGTTCGTCTTACTTTCTTCATTTTAGTGTAGAAATTTAGTTCTCGTCCAGCAGTGACGAAATGGTCCACGTCTATCGTGAATTGAAAAAAAATAGAAATTGCAATAGCTTAGTACAGTATCAATTCAATATTAAAATCAAAATTAAAATATTATTATTATTGTAAACATTAAATTGTCTGAGTGAGTATGTTATTTACTAGAAAGGCAAAGGTAATGACCAGAAAAAAGTAAGTTCGTCGAAAAGTTTTGCAGACCAGTTCCAAAATTAGCTCAAAGTTTCAAAAATAAAAATATGGTCAATAGAGCGACGAAATTCACACGAAAGCGATATATATAAAATAAATGCAGTTCAATGAGTGGACGAATGGGCTAAATGACGCCAACACCTTTCGATTAACAATTTCAAGATGATAAAAACTATAAGCATTGTTGAGACAAGGTTTTCGTTGAAAAAAATGATCGATTTCAACGTCCATAAATCTGTATACCAGCGGTCAAGTCCCAAATCATAAAATCACTCTCGGAGCTGCTGGACCCATTCGGTGTGAAGGTACAATAAAGAGTGGGGTGGGTTGACGGGCAGATTTCTAAAACGAAAACTATTACCGCAGGGTACAAAAGTGCGTAGGTATATAGAAATAGTCGAATCGTGGTATTCTATTATTTTTTGTAACCTGCTCGTGATCTTCCTATACGCCAGCAAAAGTTCAGTTTGACTCAATGAAATAAACAAACAAGAAATTTATTATGAAAAAAAAAAATTCTCTGGTCTTTACCCAAATGGACGTAAATGTTAACAAAACGTATACGTTTGTTGATCGCTAGTAATATTATGCGACGTTTAAAACCTGACTATGGCTTTTTTTATTGTACAAAATTTACGTACTAACATTTATATCAGAGAAACAATTGAATTTAAATTTGCCTGAATTCATTGTTTAAAGATATGAATTATCTTATCAATGATATGAACGGAGTATCTCGAAATCTTACCCATAAGTTCACGTATCGAATATTATTGTAGATTCTGAAAACTTTGCAAACAAATTGATAGTTTGGTGGTTTTTTCCATATGTTCCTATTTTTGCGAATATATTTTTGCATGAGTTTTCACGAGGTTTCATGGTTGCTTTATTGCATGTTTTCTTGATTTGAAGCTCGTTTTAGAATAGATATTTTAATGAAAGTTTCAAATTTCTCATCATTCCTCTCGAGGGAGCCTTTACTTCAATTATTTTAACTTGAAATTATCTTGACTTGAAGAATTTTACGATCACATGTACAACGGATATAAAGACAACATCAAGTTGGCGTTTCTCAGTTGCAATAACTGAATATATCGGGCAATTCAGGCTAATGTTTAGCAATGTTCACTGGTTTGAGTAAAAGCTTGCTCAGTCTCTATGAATTCAGTTTTAAATAGAATTGCATTTGATTATTATTAGCATAGTATAAGAGTTTACTTCATATTCCAGCCTATGCATGTTAAATTAGAATTTATTCATATTATATTTTATCTGAATTTATTCACTTCTAATTGGTATTTACTCAAATTTGAATTTTACGTATACGCGTTGTTCCTGAATTTATGCTGGGGTTGAAAGTAAGAAAATTATTCAATGTGTTTTACCTCATTTGGGCTCGGCGTCGAAAACTACGTCTAATGAATTTCTTTTGATGAAATATGTTCTGAATGATAACTTGCCTGCGTGCTTGGTCGATAATTTTAAAATTGGTTCCTTATTCATTCTTGTATTAGGATTTTTCTCCGGACGCGATCCTCTCTAGTATACGAGTAAAGTTGTGCGCAGTGCGCATCAGCGGACATCGACATGACGTCATATCTAAATAGCTGAATATTGTGGCATTGGTTTTTAGTTAATTATTTCTGCTTATCCAGCCACCTCATTTGTTGTGCACTTGAACGCTGGACAGCGCGGTGCACCTGTGTCCTAGAATAACTGTGATATTCCAGCGAATGGTGGGTGTTTAAAGTTTAAGTATTTTGGTATTGCTTTTTTTCATTGCAAAATTATGCAAACGATGATAATAGTTATGTTGGCGTAACTTTGGTGCCCCGATTATCGGTGCAACAAAGATATCTTTTGGCGTAACTTAGCCCGATTATCGCGCTATCTGTTTTAATTTATTCTGCGTGTATATGGTCTATATTTAGATTTTACTTGTATTCCTGAAGTTATAAAACTTGGATGAATCTTGTCTCAGAAACTATTTCAATAGAGACATAAAGAATTTACTTAGTAGATCCTTTGATCTCAAATTAAAAAAAATTGTGTGCACTAATTACTACTATTCCTTGCTAGTTCGTTACGTCATTTAAGTAGACTATGATAGGATCTATAGCTACGTATTTTCTAGGGCACTCCAAAACTAGAATATGACATAAAATTTCAGAAGTCATGTTTTCTGAAGGAAGTTGCTGTTACCTACCAGCAACAAAAATGAATGCCTTGAATAATATAAGAAGAGAAAAAAGATGTACATTTGTACCACGTACGAGGGCTGACATGTACACGTCTAAGGGCTGCCGTTAACAGATGTGAGGACGTGTATAATGTACGTGCATCACACATGAAACATTTATGAGAATCTCACCTGGTTGACCCACACGTTCGTCGTCATGATTTGGTTCTTCAGGTTCTGAAACAAATGAAAAGGCAGTGGTGAGTATTTATGAGTATAATACTTCTGTAAAAGACAGAGTTGAGTATTATGAGTATAACAATTCAATAAAAGACAGTAGTGAGTATATACGTATGAGTAAAACTATTCAATAAAAGGCATGATGCGTTTTTATGAGTACAACAGTTCAATAAAATTTTGTTAATATATATGAATGTGTAAATTCTGTAAATTTAACAGGAAAATTAATAATAATTTAACAAAAAATATTAATGAATAAAATTGACAGGTAATCGAATAAATGCGTTTCGCAAATGAATTGCTTTGGAATTAGTTAATGCTTGCATTTATCTATTTCCCAAAAATAGGACGAATATTTTTCAATTGTTTCAATACTATCACAAATTTATTCCAAGTGGCTAAGGATATTTGAAGAAAAAACGTTTAAAGAAATTCTCTATTAACTTAAAAAATTACTATCAAGTCATCGTCGATGTCTTTTTCCAAGCTGTTTAAGAATATTTCACAATTTTTCTACGCAAAACTTCTTGGCTGCTAACGAATATATTGCATTCTGTTCGCTTATATTTTCAATATTTTACGAATATTTTTCGAAATGTTCACGAACATTTTACATTATGAAGAGAAATATTTTAACTTAAATACTAAAAAAATATTAAGTAATTTTTAAGAAAATATTTTTACTGTAATGAATATTTTATAAACTGTTTACTAATATTTCCGAAGCTCTTCACCACTTTTTCAGCGCACGAATTTTTTCAACGAACTTTTCGACTATTTTTAAAACGATTGACGACTCGTTTTTTACTACTTTTCTTCCAGAGCTGTTTACGAATCTCTCCAGAGCTGTTTACGACTCTCTCCAGAGCTCTTTACGACTCTCTCCAGAGCTGTTTACGACTTTCTCCAGAGCATTTTACGACTCTCTCCAGAGCTGTCTACAACTCTCTGCAGAGCTGTTTATGACTCTCTGCAGAGCTGTTTATGACTCTCTGCAGAGCTGTTTACGACTCTCTGCAGAGCTGTTTACGACTCTCTGCAGAGCTGTTTACGACTCTCTGCAGAGCTGTTTACGACTCTCACGAATGGTGGGTGTTTAAAGTTTAAGTATTTTGGTATTGCTTTTTTTCATTGCAAAATTATGCAAACGATGATAATAGTTATGTTGGCGTAACTTTGGTGCCCCGATTATCGGTGCAACAAAGATATCTTTTGGCGTAACTTAGCCCGATTATCGCGCTATCTGTTTTAATTTATTCTGCGTGTATATGGTCTATATTTAGATTTTACTTGTATTCCTGAAGTTATAAAACTTGGATGAATCTTGTCTCAGAAACTATTTCAATAGAGACATAAAGAATTTACTTAGTAGATCCTTTGATCTCAAATTAAAAAAAATTGTGTGCACTAATTACTACTATTCTCTGCTAGTTCGTTACGTCATTTAAGTAGACTATGATAGGATCTATAGCTACGTATTTTCTAGGGCACTCCAAAACTAGAATATGACATAAAATTTCAGAAGTCATGTTTTCTGAAGGAAGTTGCTGTTACCTACCAGCAACAAAAATGAATGCCTTGAATAATATAAGAAGAGAAAAAAGATGTACATTTGTACCACGTACGAGGGCTGACATGTACACGTCTAAGGGCTGCCGTTAACAGATGTGAGGACGTGTATAATGTACGTGCATCACACATGAAACATTTATGAGAATCTCACCTGGTTGACCCACACGTTCGTCGTCATGATTTGGTTCTTCAGGTTCTGAAACAAATGAAAAGACAGTGGTGAGTATTTATGAGTATAATAATTCAATGAAAGAAAGTGGTGGGTATTTTTGAGTATAATAATTCAATAAAAGACGGTGGTAAGTATTTATGAGTGTACCAATACAATGAAAGACATGGTGAGTATATACGAGTACAATAATTCAATAAAACACATGGTGAGTATATATGATTATAAAAATTAATGAAAGACAGTATTGTGTATTTACAAGTAGAACAATTCAATAAAAAGACAGCGGTGAGTATTGATGAGTATAAAAATTCTGTAAAATTAAAAGGAAATTAGTGATCGATTACATGATAATTAATCAAGAAATATTCAGGAATAAAATTGGCAGGCAATCAAAATAAATGCGTTTCGTAAATTAATTGCTTTTGAATTGTTTAATGATTGCATATATATATTTTCCAATATCAATACGAAGATTATCCACTATTTACCAGTATTTTCATGTTTCTTACTGATATTTTCAACTCTTTGCTAATATCTTCGAACTCTCTACGGATAATTTTTAACCTGCTTCCAAATATTATTAAACGATTTTGCGAAAGAATATTTTTCAATTTATTCAATCCTATCAAAAATTTATTCCAAGTGGTTTAGGATATATAAAAGAAAGTTTAAGTATATTCTCTATTAACTTAAAGAATTACTATCAAGTCATCGCCCAACACTTTTTCCAAGATGTTTAAGAATATTTCACTATTTTTCTACGCATAACTTTTCGGTTGCTAATGATTATATTGTATGCGGTTCGCTAATATTTTCAATATTTAACCAATATCTTTCGATATGTTCAGGAATATTTTACATTATGAAGAGAAATATTTTAACTAAAAGTTTTGAATAAATTATAAGAAAATATTTGAACTGTAATGAATATTTTGTAAACTGCTTACTAAAATTTCCGAAGCTCTTCACCACTTGTTCAGCACACGAATATTTTTAAAGAACTTTACGACTATTTTTTGATGCAGTTTACGACTCTCTCCAGAGCTGTTTACGACTCTCTCCAGAGCTGTTTACGACTCTCTCCAGAGCTGTTTACGNTAGGTTACGACTCTCTCCAGTGCAGTTTACGACTCTCTCCAGAGCTGTTTACGACTCGCCAGAGCTGTTTACGACTCTCCACAGCAGTTTACGACTCTCCAGAGCTGTTTACGACTGTCCAGAGCTGTTTACGACTCTCCAGAGCTGTCTACGACTCTCTCCAGAGCTGTTTACGACTCTCCAGAGCTGTTTACGACTCTCCAGAGCTGTTTACGACTCTCTCTAGAGCTGTTTACGACTCTCCTCAGAGCTGTTTACGGCTGTCCAGAGCTGCTTACGACTCTCCAGAGCTTCCTACGACTCTCTCCAGAGCTGTTTACGACTCTCCAGAGCTGTTTACGACTCTCTCCAGAGCTGTTTACGACTTTCCTGAGCTGTTTACGACTCTCCTCAGAGCTGCTTACGACTATCCAGAGCTGTTTACGACCCCCTCCAGAGCTGTTTACGACCCTCCAGAGCAGTTTACGACTCTCCAGAGCTGTTTACGACTTTGTAGAGCTGTTTACGTCTCTCTCCAGAGCTGTTTACGACCCTCCAGAGCTGTTTACGACTCTGCAGAGCTGTTTACGACTATCTCCAGAGCTGTTTATGACTCTGCAGAGCAGTTTACGACTCTGTAGAGCTGTTTACGACTCTGCATAGCTGTTTACGACTCTGCAGAGCTGTTTACGACACTCTCCAGAGCTGTTAACGACCCTCCAGAGCTGTTTACGACTTTTTCCAGAGCTGTTTACGACTCTCCAGAGCAGTTAACGACTCTCCAGAGCTGCTTACAACTCTTCAGAGCTGTTTACGACTCCACAGAGGTGTTTACGACTGTCCAGAGCTGTTTAAGACTCTCCAGAGCTGTTTACGACTCCCTCCAGAGCTGTTTACGACTCGCCAGAGCTGTTTACGACTCTCCACAGCAGTTTACGACTCTCAAATTTGTATTCTTTACCCTCTCTAAATGTATGATGTACGGCGTATTGTATGCATGTTACTCGATATGAAATTTATCCAGCGTAATAACTTACAAATGCCGGGACATGTTACCTCATGCCTTGCATTACGAATGACGGGACATGTTCCCGTGTGCATTAAAGATGCCGGGACATGTCCCCTTGTTCCAAATATGGCACACAGCGCAGTCCGGGCCCTGATGCTGCCACATATGCCACACGGCATGCCACATTTGTCATGTCGCAGAGAGCATTTCTTTAAATTAAAGGAGGCGGGAGGACGAGATATGGGTGCAGACAGCCGCTACTTGAAATTTTGTTCGAGCCTCAACAAAGGACGCTTTCTTAAGGATCAAACGCTTCCTTTGAATAGGGACAGAGCGGTCATGTGAATAGAGTGTGGTAAATGTGGTTAGTAGCATAACAATAGGATAACAGTGGACCTACAACACTTTAATAAAAAGCCTCAGTATTTAAAATCCAGCAATTAGAAGGATTTCACAAACAAAATCCATTTGTCCCTTTGTGAAAAGATCCAGAAAAAAAAGTAGTACATTGAGTATAAAAAGACCACTCAAACAGGACCTGAGTAGGTGCTTTAAAAGAATCCTTTAAATTAGAAGAGATCTGTGGATCTGTGGTCGCTCTATAGCCTTTAAGGAGCTCAGCTGCTTAAGTCCTGAGGACAAATGGAGGCTATAAAACAACTTCCTCGAAATCGTTGATCCCAAGGACGAAAAATTCATTTAAGTTGAAAATTGATCAGAACTTCAACCCGACTCCATGAACAAGGAGTTTGAATTTTGTTATTTGGAATCCCAAACTCTTTCAGCCGTGGAAGAAGTTTGGTATAGAGTTTTCTAAGCTTTAAATTGTTTCTGTTGGTAATTGGTGACAAAGCGATGCTTGATAGGCAACTTGAAGAAAACTAAGAAGTTCAATGGATGGATAAAGTTATGGAAAACTTGATTGAATTTGAGCACATCTATAAACAGATCTCTGCAGATATTAGCGGATCTCTTTAAATGTTAACAAATCTCGGTAACATTAACTGATCGCTTTAAATTTCAACAGATTTTTGCAGATCTTAACAGATCAGTGCACTTTAAAATATCTAAGAATATTTGCAGATGAAAAAATATCTCTGTGAATATTAACAGATCGCTTAAAATCTAAAACCTTCCCACACGCCTTTGCTAGTTTTCACGAAAAATAAGGAATATCGATGATCTGAAAATTTCAAAACATAATTAAAAATTGTAAATGATTGTTTCGAACTTATGCAAATCTTTATGTAACTTTGCGAATCTCAGTCAAGCCTTGAGAATCAGAAAAAGTTTTTGCGGATTTATGCCAGCTTTTGAAGACGTTGAGATTATTGGAAAATCTATAGCGAAGCTTTACGTATCTGCTCAAAATTTTCACGAAGACGAGTGTAAAAAGCGCGAACTTTTCGTCAGAACTCGAAGGGACGAGTCGTGTTTTGCATGGGCCAGCAATACTTGGGAATTTAATCTACAAAAATTTATTTATTTGTTTTGATGTAATTTATTAAAACGATATTCTAATTTTCCTGTGACGCAGAGTGCCGCTGTGGGTCTGGAGAGTTCATGGCTGGTGTGGCACTGAATTTTTAAATTGGATTGCTGCCTTGAAGTGCCTAGCTTCTTCAGGTGCCGCCTGAGCTCCTTTGAAAGTCAGTATGACCTATGATTCAGGTAGGAATAGCATTATGAAGATGCCGACAAATGTGTTAGCTTAGAAATAATAATTCATATAGGAATTACATTGTAAATATGACGACACATGTTTTCGGAATAGCGACGAATTCTCAATAAAAGATATTGCCATGTATTTATTTAAATATAATATGAACCGAAGCACTGCTCCTCTTACCTACATTTCTGCATCTTAATGTATATGTGCTTGCGCCTATACTGTTCTGAACGGTCATGTACACTGTACTCGGGACGATATATCTCGATACAGTACTGTATACTATACACTCTTTAATATGTACCTTTCGGAACAGTCTCGTATACTGCACTCTTGACTTTATCGTTCCGAACAGTCAAATAAGTGCAAAAGGGGAATAATCATCCTCTACAAAGGGAACAGTCATCCCCTATAAGGGGAACAGTCATATCCTGTGAGGGCAACAGTCATCTCCTTGTTCGGAAAATTGATCACAGTGTTTGAAAAAATATATACAAGGGTCCGTCCGTTGAGTTTTATTTTGACTGCTATACAAGATATCACTTATCGATATGTTTTAAATAACTTATATTTATTCGCCTTAACTCATAATAAACGGTGAAGACATTGAACAAATCACCTTCTCCCACAAATCATACCTAATTTACTCAGCATTCAGTACACTCGGCTAATTCATTTTGATTAATTCTTCCCAAACCATGGGCAGCTCAATCTTGAGTCCATGACAAGGTTTGCCAGAAATCAGATGTTGGAACATTTACGTCCAACATATGAATTAAATTTCGCTACAAATCATGCCATCTTGTTTATTTTCAGAATACGTATTAATCATTGGAGTCAATTCGCATCATTCCATTAAAGTGCTTTCTTCTTTTTACGACAATTACATTGTATGTATTACAGTACAACAAATGCAATTGTCTAATATCAAATAACATTGCAGAACAACAAATGCCATTGCATAAGAACGAATGACATAGCAGAACAACAAATGGCACAGCAGAAAAACAAATGCAATTCAAGGACAACAAATGTATTGGATTGCAGAACATAAAATGGCCTCTGCCACTGCAGATGCCATTTTCAGCTGGCTGTCGCGGCCAAACATGTTCTCTGCGCCGCACTTTACGACCCGACGCTTGGGCCCAGCCGCGGCTAGCCGCAGTGACACTGACTCAATGGGGATGCTGGTTCCATAAACTCGATATGGGATGAGGTTTCCAAAAATTATTTATTAATATAGACTCGATAATCATGACGTATAACTGG